CTCCTTTTGAGACAGGAATCTCTGCGCTACTGGCACTTGAAGATAACTTGAAAATGCAGTCCAAGGAGATGGGAGAATTAAGATCCCATTTATGAGAATCAAAGGTACTTTAACAGACACGTGACATCTGTGTCTCGGCAGAAGCCGCTGAGATCTAAGAACAGTGGAAAAGGAGAGCTGCGGGTAAAAATAAAAAAATAAAAAAAAATAAATAAAAAAAAGAAGAAATACCACTTCTCTGTTCCGATCTGCACCTAAAAAACATGACAACTCATGACTCCTGCTCTGCGCCCTGGAACTGAGTCTGCCTGGCACGGGTGGTGCCAGACACCTGACTGCGCTTGGCTGAAATAAGGGAGTGAGCGTCTAGGATGGGTCCCTTTTTTTTTGCATTTAGACAATACAGTGCCAGCCAGACTATTAGACATTATGATTCAGTTATTTGCTACTTGTGCAAAAGCTGAACTGAGCGAGCTGATCCGTGTGATGCAAATAGCAATGAAATTGGTCTAGTTTGCCTATATCAGGAATATGAGGCTGTGTGTACTGCTTAGCATAGATATTAGGTGGCATGCCTAAAAGATTTTCTGCAATGCTGGGGTTCTTGAAGACAGACAGACAAGCAGCTAGAATAACAACCTACCTTTTTTTTTTTTTTTACCACAAACGTGAGCCATTGACTTGAATGTTGGGGTTATTTTATATTATTTTTAAGCCCATATTGTGACTGCTGATAGACTCAGCGGTGGGGAATGAGTCATGCACACAGCTCTAAAGACAACGTGCACATACTCCTCTGGGTCTGACTGTACAGCCAGTCCAGATTCTGGGAAAGCAGGAGCAGAGAAGACACCATTCACTTACGCCTGGGTCTTTGCTAGATGGGCAGCCAGCAGGTACCAGCAGAGACTTGAACGAAGGATGGGAATGGGGCACTTGACCTGAGGAGTCAACTTCCACAGCTCAAGCCCTTGTTGTACATGTTGTGAAAATCCAATAATAGGCTTTTTACCCTAGTCCTGGTCTGTAGAGAGTAGAGTGTGCCTGACCCACAAAGGGGCCAGGGATACAGGCAGAGCAAATCTTTGTTGCAAATTTTAACCTGAATCACCACAACATGAGAAGGACCAGAAAGGGAAGTAGAACTTTGTGCAGATCTTACACTGGCGTGTTTTACTGTCATATTAGCATCTCAGTGACGTCATACAGAGAAGCTTACATTAGAGATCTTTAGTAAAACTTTCTGCTTTAGGAAAGTAAGGTAAACGCCCAGTCTCTCTGTGGAGAGCTGCGAGCCTGTGTGTGGCTCTCCAGCTGCTCAATGCAGTATCTGATCTGGGATGTATATCCATATTATCTGTAAATGTGTCAAATGCATGTCTCCAAAATTAAACCGTTTTGTTAAAAATAATAGACACCACCCTAGTAACCATATAGAAAAATCTTTGTAAAGCAGGGAAGCCAGCTGCAGAGGAAAGCCATAGGACCTGGACTGGTGATTCTTCATCGCTGTTTTTACAAGAGGTGACAATTACCAAGACGTTGCAACTTCAACCAATTAAATTGTAAATCCAAATAAAACTTCTACTCATAAAGAGGAGAACTCCAGTTGAAATGTTTCATTTCCTAAAGCACATATGTATTTTTAATCTCTCACCTCCTCTATTTACAGCAAAATACCATCGTCGTAAGTCAGTTGTGGTGCAGCTTTTGTAAGAAAAATGTATTTGTTCAGGAACACGAGCGAGTAGTATAAATTTTGTGATATACAATAAAGTGCAATATTGAATCTGATGTTGGACTTCCTGAGTAATTTTTCTTCATTGAAAAATGTAAAAGAAGTATTTTCCTCTTGAGTATTTTTAGGTCAGTTAATGACATTAATAAAACCTCAGTCTCTTTTGTCTCTGTGGAACCTGCACACCACTGAAAAGTGAGTTGTTCTTACTCACGGACTGGGAGAGTCACTTTTAAACTATGCTTCTCACTGATTCCTGTTTGAAATGAATAAGCAGAAGCTTGAGGGCTTTTTCCCATGGAAGTTTACCATTTCAGCATACACCCTATGGAATTTGTATCTTGCACAATATATTGCTCTACATATTAACCTTTCTTCCAGTGAAAGCACAAATGAGTTTACAATTCAGGTGGCATTTATGCCATTTCATGTAATCTGGATTTCAAAAAATATAAATGACATCTGCAGTCACAAATCCAGTAGTTCACATTTGAAATGACGAAATGCTCACTGTTTATGATGTTAAGTATTTTAGCCAGTGTTGAATTTATGAACAGTCTCATTTGTGTCTTCTTAACTCCATGTAAATCTATGTGCATATCTTAATTGAAGGCGCATTGGGAGGATTATTTGCATGAAAACTGCTGATCAAGACATGTCAAAATAGGAAAGTTATTTTAAGACAGCTATAGTAGGGTATCTTCCTATCCGGGATGTTCGTTAGCTCTGACAAATCTTTCTTAATTTTGTCTGGCTGTTTTCGTGAATCTTTGGCTTCCAACAAAAGCTAATAAAACCAGCTATGAATGCTTTAAATATAACTACATTTTGGGGAATATTAAGCAGCAGAGGACTACATATGTAGTACTACAGAAGCACACAGATTTGTTGCTTTGTGCCATGCAGTAGTATTCAGAGGAAGACTAGTTCCCTTATCAAATTTCCATACATTTGAACTGTTCTTGCCCAGAGTTAGGGTAAATTGCATGACAAATGCTATGATCATCAACATCCATTCCAGGGAATCAAAGTAGCTGCTGACCTTTAAATGTGAACATATTCACATACCAGTTTACCAACCATCTGGTGTGACCTGACATTTCTGTTACTGGCACTCTTGTCTCTTGCAGCCCCTTCCAAAACACTGCATATGTGATGATTTGTGCCCATGGTGGACTGCCATTTTCCTCTGCAAGGTGTCCTCAGGGAAGCACACTTTGCTTCCTCTGGCTCTTCGCCTATTTCCATGCCTGTTCTATTCTCCAAATCCCACTGAATTGTAGCCCTACTTGTCAAGGCTGTTAAGGGAGCCACCAAAGCCAGCAGATCCAGGATCCCTCCTCCCCAGGCAACATGCCCAGCCAGGGGTGGTCCCAGGTGATCTCTCCATCCCAGTTCCAGTGATACAGCTGCTGCTCTTCCTGCTTGCAGGTCTGGCCTGTAGGCAAGGTTGAGTCTGCATCCAAGACATTCACACACACACAGAAATCCCTAATGTGTCTGGCTGCACAGAGAGCAGTGTGGGTAGCAGCAACCAGCTATAATGCTACCCAAACACACACAAGTGCAGACAGCCCCATCCTCTTCCTCTCCTCCAGCTGATCAGAATGGAGGGTCTCTGGTGGAAACCTGTGCCTTCATTCTCTACATCCATAACACCCACGTTCACAGCCCCCTTGAATGTTAGCATAGCCTCTAAGCCTGCTTAATATCCATGTGTGGACCTGGGGTCTTTTGACTGGTGTGCAGGTCACCTTCTACTTGCCAGATAGAGCAATCTTGCTAGTGAAACAGATGCTTACGCTCACACACTCATCTTGGAAGCACTCCCACTCTCACAGATCACACAGAGCTCTCAGTCTGCCCAACATCCATACCTGGACCCGGGGCTCCCTTACCCAACCACTGGCTCAAACCAAGTCTACCAGACATGGAAATGTCTACTCCAATTCACCATCTAGTCCAGCTTGAAGTTTGCCAGTAAATTATATCTACGCACACAGAGGATTAAATTGACTGAAGAAATACAAACACATGCAGATCTCTCCAGTTGCCAGCACTTTGAGCTCTTACACACCCACAATACAACCTGATCCCTCCAGCCACTGCCACCAAGACCTACAGTTCTGGTGCCCATGGTCTCTTGTCCAGTTGCTGGCGCTTGGACCTCCCAACACACATGCAATAAACACACTCACCAGTCCTTCCAGTCACTGGCATTGAGACCTACAAGCCCTACGGCCCATGCCAATCCCTTCATGTGCTCATACCTAAACTCACAGGCCCTAGGACCTCTGGTCTATTGCAGGCCAGTCTCTCCAGTTGTTGGCACATTTTCCCACACTAGTTCCTCTCTGATCCAACAGGATCTTTTCCCTTTCCTTTGGATCCCTTGGCCCTTTCCCTAAATAGAATCACAGAATCTTCACGGTTGGAAGGGACCTTTAAGATCACCTAGCCCAACCATCAACCTAGCTCTGATAAAAAACCATCACTAAACCATGTCATTAAGCACTGTGTCAAGCTGTCTTTTAAATAACTCCAGGGATGATGCCTCAACCACTTCCCTGGGCAGCCCATTCCAATGCTTAATAACCCTTTCAGTGTAAAATTTTTCCTAATATCCAATCTGAACCTCCTCTGGCTCAAATTAAGGCCATTTCCTCTTGTCCTATTGCCTGTTCCTTGGAAGAAGAGACCTACCCTCACCTCTCTACAACCTCCTTTCAGGCAGTTGTAGAGAGCTATAAGGTCTCCCCTCAGCCTCCTTTTCTCCAGGCTGAAAAACACCATAATACTCAAGTTAATCATGTTTCCCCCTTCCTGTCAGTTCAATATTGTTGCTCAGGTTGACATTCTTGAAGGTTCTGCCTGAGTAGTTCCTTTAATGTCCCATCAATCAGCAGCTGAAGCATTCTGAGTCCTCATTATTGCCTCTGTTGTGACTTCCTCATTAATGTTCGTGTGTCTGTGTGGCTAATTTATCACTTACCTCATTACTTGTTATTTCTTCTATAGTGAGTAGATCACAACCAAATAACTTAATGACCCAGATGCTCCCACACTCCACATACCTTCACACTACTGACCGACAGCTGTTGCAGGACTCAGAACCGTTGGGTACCCCCTGATTACAGGGCCCGGTTCTCATTTATTTTAGACATTTGTATCATGGTAAAATAGCAAATGCAGACTTCACCATGTTGATTGAAAGTCAGGATTTGTGTTTTATATGTTTTCTTTATATTCAGGTAGTCTTAAAGGACAGGGCAGACATGTCATACAACATATTTTCATCTTTCTCCATTGCATGGTGATACACAACAGTCAGACACTTCAATGATTTTAGCACAGTATTTTATCCAGATGATTAGGTTTTTTTCCAGACTTTACAAACCTTTATCATGATGGCTGAGATAAAAATATCAGAAAGAATGATGATGTAGTTGTGGTTTTCCAGTGATATTCATCTTGTGTCTTTGATGCTTGTTTACATTATCTTCAGAAGTTTGTCCCATTCTAAATGGAAAAAAACAAAACAAAACAAAAACCCCACATCTTAAAAATGTGTAGGGAAGGGAAATACATGTATAATGTCACATACAAAGAAGCCAAAATAATTTTTTGGAAGGTCATAAAGTAACAGTGTAAAGTATCTGGCATTTTACAGAGATACTCTACCTCAATAGAACACCACATAAAGAATATTAGGACAAAATTCAAAATGGAAGTCTGCTCTCTGAAAGGCCATTCCTCTTGAGTTTGCTTAGAAAATTTCTCCTGTGCCTTGTGAGTCCCTCTAAGCTATATCATTCTTACTATTTCCAGGACCCAGTCTCTATTTAAACTAAGAGTCCAGATGCCTGAGACTTCATCAAACTTCCTGCCAAATGTCTTCGCTATTCAGTACATGACCTTTCCAATCCAGTTTTTCAGATAGTTTTAACCTACTGTCTTCTTTTAATTCTCCTCAATTTCCATGGCTACTTTGTTTCTCGCATAAAAAAGGGTGATCAAATAGGGAAACTAATTTTTACATTTGCTTTTTGTTTTGGTGTTTTGGGTTGGGTTTTCCAGCACTATATCCAGGTGTTTTCAGGGGAGATCTTTAGTAGAAAATGCAATAATAGATGAAATACAAGTCCATGAAGTGAAAGACATGGTTTAGTTACAAATTGAAAATGAGTCCCTTTGTTCACACTCCCCCACTCAATGTAGGCTGCCATCTGGGCAGTAAGAGTGGTAGGGGTGGAGGAGGAGAACAGGCTTTGAATGAAGTGGCTTTTTAGTGTTTGATAAATTAGTAGCACTTAATGGAGCTCTTTAATTCCTAAGCTGGAGTCTTAAGATTTCAAAAATGTAACACCATCCAATTTACTTTTACTGGATTTTTTTATTTTTATAAAATATATATATCATTGTTTAAAAAGGAAAAATACTTACTCCTGGACTCGGGCTCTCATGATTTTTCTTTCCTTGTCTGTATTTCTTTTTAAGGCACACAGCGGTTGTGATAGTGATGATAAGCATTACAACAAATACAGCTACGCTTGAAGAAACAGCTATTACAGTATTTTCTTGAGTTGAGCCTTTCCTTTCACACTTTGCTCCCATGTACCACCAGTCGTCACCTGCTGGACATCTGGAAAGTAAAGGAACAAACATTTGGAATCATCTAAAGTTAAAGGCATGAAAAAGGCTACTTAAAATAAACAGCATCTCTGATGCACTCTTTCTATATCCTGAAGCAAAATGAAGGTAACTTAAAATGGACTTTTATTTTAAAGTTCTCGAGTGGCCTTTTGTCCTTACACGTCTGGATGCACTTTCAGCTTCCCATTGTTTTACGGGTCATATCTTCAGAGACAGCCTTTACCAAGTGCCATCCTGATCCTTTTGACTGCTTAAGGCTTGGCCACAGCAGACCTACAGACCTGCTGCTACAGAATGGACATCTTTTGCTACCAATATAGGTCCCTCTGGATCACTCAGTTCACTTATCTATTTCCTTCTTCTTGAAGTTTATAGCACTGTCTGTTGATAGAAAACTCACTTGCTGCTCTATGACACTCAGTGCACTACAAAGATACTGATTGTTGGGGGACTTCATGTGATCTGGCTTAAACAGAGTTATATATTACATCCTTCCTTATTTCCCAATAGAAAATCAAAGTGGAAGCTGACTGCTGGTCACACACTTCCCTAGGACAGAAAGTAAGTCACATAGGCACTAGAGCTTCAAATAGCCCGGAGATTTCAGAAAATAAATGTTCTCTTTCCATAATTTCGAAATCAGGTATAACGTTAAGGGTAACTCTTTTTTTTGTCTTCTTGGAACAGCTTCTTGACATTTACTTATATTTGTGACCTGCTTCTGATGGGTTGCACAAGAATTGTTTTTTAAAAGGTTTCTAGATGGGGAGATACAACACTTAATGAGTCATCCTGACTCTTGTTGCTTCTGGCCTTTAGACGTTTTCCTCACAGTGCTCCCCTAGTCTACCTGCCCTGGCACAGCATCACATAAGGTTACTGTCTTCAGCCCTGGAGCGTGTTTGAGAGCTGGAAGAATGCTGATCAGCCAGGTGGGTTACGTAAATGTATCCACAGAGGAATAAATAAAAGTTCATATTAATTTTCATGCAGGGTAAACAATCTTTATACTCCTAAGCCTTCCTCTCTGGTTTCAAAGGCAAGCAAATACACTTTTGAAATTCATAGTCATAATTTACACTACACAATATTTCTGAATCAAATTCTAAAATAATGTCTATGCTGCTTCCTGCCTGTGAAGTATTAATTATCTTTTCTACTGATATAAATGCTGTTTTGTTTCAACTGCGTTTCTATTTAACTCTTATAAATTTTGCTATGGGGACTTCTAAGGAAATGAACAGTCCATTTCATAACATGGGACTGAAACATTACTGAAAATACTAAATACATTTAAAATATAATTTTCAGGGAAGTCAAGCAGAGTACTTAAAAATGATTAAATGCTGAGGTTAGGAGCTTTGTTGCCCAAACTGGTTAAAAGTTTAGTCTCACAGTAGAAGTTGGAAATATTTGCCTTAATCAACTATAGACTGTCTTTCATTAGGAACAAAGATCTATTCTGCTAGAAACTTTCATTACTCATCCTAAAGTTGCAGAGTGCAGGCAGTTACCTGCATACGGGGCTTCCGTTCTCCATAACGCAGACACCATCATTTTCACAATGGTTCCTTTGGCAGAAACTGGGAACGCTTGTGTCTGGCTCAGAGCTGGCACTGGTCGTATTCACAGCAACAGTGGGTGAAACACTTGGCTGAGTTGATAGTAGATGTGATATATCTGCACAATAAAAACACAAGAAATAAGGTCTATACTTCATGTTATTTTTCCTCTTATTCTAATGATAAGTTCTAATAGTGAAGAGCAAAGAGCCTGCTGTCCACAGGTATAACAGATAAATAGTCATTTTTACCTTTCAGGATCATGAGGTGTTTTGGAAATGTCCTCTAGATTTTTTCAGAAACAGACAATTTTAATCAAAATACTCTATTCAAAATAATTTTCACAGGATTAGCATTGTTTTATACACCTTAATATGAGATAAAGGAATTATACAGTGCATGTACTTATCCACAAATTTATCCAAATGTATGATTTGACGTTAGATGCACTCATAGTTCCAAAATCACTCATTTACAAAGTACATCACATGTATTTATAGCTACAGCACTAGTGACTTAGTATTTATCTGACACTCCATGTTTACTGTATCATAAAGAATATCAGGTATGTTAACATACCTTCCATTGTTAAAAGAATATAAACACCATCTTCTTTAATAAAGTCGCGGCTTTTAAGTCTCTGATGAGTTATGAATGCACTCGTTCCTCTTCCTGGACCTCTGCTGAATCTAGTTCCATTGGGAAAAGATGCTTCGGATCCCACTTTATCTGGCCTATCCCAAAAATAGCTTGATGAGGAATCTGGAAAAAAAATTAACTGAATGTGAATGTGGGACCACTCTGGATTTCTTTTTTAATAGGGTCCCTTCCTTCTTAGATAATCTCTGCTGCAAAGTAGTACTGAGGCCTCTCTCAACAACCAAGACAGATTGTGTCCTACTTTGCCTGCTTCTGCTTAGATGCTCATGGATATCAGGAATACAGAGAAGACAATAAATTACCTGAAACTCGTGGAGTAGGAGCAACGCTGAACCTGCCTACAATATTTGCAGAGTTTTTTGCCCGAAATTCCATACTGATGAGACGCACAAGACAGTGGAGATCTTAAATGGCTTCATTTAGCCTGAGGTATGGAGAAAAGAGCCTACCAGAGATGATGTTATGGGAGAGCTAGTTGAGAACCTGTTGAATTTCCTTTTTAGTTCTTTTAAAGTGTAGTGTGCAAGAAGATAGTAGCACAAGGCATCTGTAAAATGAATTAATTCAGTGCTTTTCAAAAAAAGAGCCACGTAGGCCGGAGGGCACTTGAACAACCTGAACAGTCACAGGCCACTGATGTCCCCTCCATCAAACCCTGCTTTAAATCTCAAAGCTGAGCGGGATTGTCTGCGAAAGTATCTGACAGAGGGAGAAGAAACTGCCTGCTCCAACACCTCTGCTGCTTAAAGAAAGGATAGGAATTTAGAAGGCTTCTCTTGGGAAACTGAAGCTATTAGCAATATCTAAATAAACAAGGGAGAAGGAGCAGAGTGCAAACAGACTGCGTGTCCACGGGGTCAGGGAAGAAGGGTGGAGTACTGTGGCCGTAACAGCAGAGAGCACAGGGAAAAGGCAACCATCTGTGGAGGACCTGGTGTGATGCATCTTTCATTTACAGGGGAGGACATTTAGTCTTTCTAGACTACCCGCATTGTTTTCATGTAGACCATCTCATAGAAAAAATGAATGTAAAGGTGGAATTTTTAAAACAATACTGTGAATTAGACATTTTTGTGCCTGCCTTCCTTGACTAATGTTGCAATCTGAAAACCCAGGAAACTAATTCAGTGGTGGAGGTGGTTTCTTTTGGCAAAACACTTATATGGATGCAGAAAGTCATTTAGGCTTAAATCTAATCATTATACAATGGTGAATACAGGGATTTTCTTTAATATCTCTTGTTATAGAGATTTCTACCATTTCTCAGAGTTACATCTTTACCCCAACTGCCTCCTTTCCAAGCTATTGTGGACAATTGCTCCTTATCTTCTCATATCTTGAACAAGAACAGGTTATGTAATACAAATCAGTACTTTGTCCATCTGAAGGTTTGCCCTGACACCACTATACCCTTTACAAGGAGGGAGGGGATCTGTTGAATAGCTGCACTTTTATCTGGTATCAACTGTCTGTATTGTTAATTCAGTATTTTTCTTTTAAAGCCTTCTGGAAAACTTCCAGTCTCATTAAACCAGATATAAATGCATCTTCACAGACCATATGAAAGAAATTTTAGGAGCGGATCATCCACCTATTTCTTATGTAAATCAACTTTGAAATCCAGGGTCCCAGATTAACCTACTTGTACGTTCAGATTTTTCTTGTCTGTGGATCAATTATGTTGTTGCTGCAACCAAATGAAACATTCCAGAAGCTAAAAAACATGCACAAATTTACACATAGAGAAAATTTGGCTCCTTATCTTTTGACTGTGTTTTAAACATACTGGGTAGCACATCTGATTTGAACTTACCTATTAACTGCAGAGGGTCAGTTGTTATGCTTCTTTGGTTTGACATCCGATGACGAATATCAGGATGCTGGTCAAGCAGAATCATGGTACCTTGTTGCCATTCACAGGGCCACTTCAAATGATCATCATTTGCTCCAGAAATCAAGTGCAAATATATTGCTAAATTAAATGGGTTATCAGTGGTACCATTTATATACAAGGCAATCTGAAAAGCATATCCTTTACTAGAGTAAAAAGGAGGACTGTATATTTCTCCAGCTTTCCCTGCTGGACTTGTGTTGAGGAGATGTGTGAAATTTCTGATATGCCAGACATGGTGGGGACACTGAGTTTCTGACAAATTGATGTCATCAATAGAGAGGCCTCCATTCGACAAGCCACTTCCTCTCACGCCTTGAAACACAACCCGGAATTTATTTGTGACATTTAAAGAAACATGATGGAGCTGCCAGTAAGTCTCAGGTGAACCTGAAAAACAAGGGAAGGGATTTTTGCATGAGCAGTATGTTCAAACACTGCACTGGTCTACAGACCTCATACCAAGGCTACATAAGAATTTCTCAGTTCCACTGACACTGACGTGATGCAATATTTCTCCTGTAGATCTTACGTATTCAGTGCAAGATTACATTTTCTCCATTCAGTTTTTTGACAGATTTAATATGCATAGCAGCTCTTTAATTTGAGATAAAACAGTGTTAATGTTTTTTAAGACTGCTTTTTCTTTTATATTTTTAAAGAACATTGCATTAAATTAATATAAATGTTGTGATAATTAAATGCACAAAGATGGCTGTCACCTGTATTATTAAAAAGAAAAAGAAATCTGAGCAAAGTGTATTCAAGTAACTGAATAACAACATGTCTCAACAACAAATGCTACAGAGGATTCCGGGAGCCTAGAACTACAAGATTTGTTCATTTAATTGTTTTTGTATATTTGAATGTCTTGTCGGAAGCTTGCCTATGCAGAAGCACTATTCACCCATCAAATGATTAATGGTACAGAGTTCAAATTAAAGCCAGTCATTTGCAAAACCTACTTAATGTGATAAAGCCTCAGTGTGAGTCTGACGCTGCACTCAAAAATGCCTGTACTTGCAAATCCCACTTGATTTGAGGAGCAGCCTGTACAAAAGCACAGACCTCTGCACAGGGGCCTTGTAAGGCAAGTGAAAGTAGGACATCCTTTGTTAATAGTCTGGGCAGCAAAACAGTTTCTTTTGCTGTCTGGTTTATGTTCACCTGCATGGAAGACCAGACTTCCAGCTGCATTTGTGGAATAATCAGTGCCAACCCCAGGTATAGAACTCCTGCTCCCCTTTCCTCGCAACTCTCAACACAGCACTCAGATATGAGTCTTAATTTCTTGCCATTTTTCATTACCATTATTATCAAGAGGAAAAAAAAAAAGGTTAACCCAGAAAGAAGAACAAAAGCACCCCACTCTTTCCCATTAAATTGCCTTCTGCATAAACTAAAGCTTTTTTGAAGTGCACAGACTGTATGCAAGACTGGGGTTTCTGACTCACGTTCAATAAGTAGATCGGCTACTGTGCTGGAAAATGTCCCACCCCCACAACCTCCCCTGCTCCCAGCTGCCACAGAGCAGCAGAAAGGGTTCAGGGCTTGTCCCTCAGCCCCTCGAGCGTGGTGGTTCAGTGCAAACCCATGAGCAGCTCAGCCGGGGTACCAGATCAGGGCTGGAAAGGGCTGCAGTGTCACTGCTTCTCCCAGTTTGCTGACTGCGTTGGTGAGGGTAACTTGTCACCATTAAACCATTCCTGAAAGCTTTACCAGAGATTGTCAAAGTAGGAGATGAGATCAGAGACTTTAAAGGAAGTTATGGACTTGGGAAAGCAGGAATGGGAGATGGGACCTAATATACATGGAAGAGTATTTGTAAAGAAAGGTGAAGTATGGAAAAATTAATCTTGGCTTCAAAGCAGGGTTTGGAAAAGTTTGGAGGGCTCAGGCTGATCTGAAATCTACACCTGCCTTAGCAGTCCTGACACATATTAAGGATTTCTGATGGCACACAGGGATGAAAAAAGCATCAGGGTGCAGAAAAGAGTGGGGAAAAAAAAAAAAAAAAGAAAAAAAGAAAAACACACACCAGCAGCAGTTGCGTTTAAAGGAACAAAAAAAGGCAGAAGAGAGGACTTGATACCTATTTAGTTAAAGACCTTTATGTTACCAGAAGATTGAACTAGTTGTAGCTGTGTTTGAGAAAGTATTTAATGATAAGGTGACTTTGGCATATCTAGCTTAAAAATCTCTTGTCCATTAACAGACCTCAGTTGCTCATTCTGTAGGCCATTGGCTCCTAAAACCACAATAACTTAATTTTCTTCAAACTACAACTCAAGTTATGATTTGCTGCCCATATATTTCAGTTAAGTAATTTCAAACCTTGCTTAAAAATAAAGTTGAATTTTATTTATCTTTTTTAAACTGGTATGGTAGGTATTCCAGGGCACACACTTATACTTTCTATCTTTTTATTATTACTTTCTTATTCATTGTAATTTACTCTAATAACCAACTTCATCTGTTGCTATTGATACCAGCGATTCTAGAACAGTTAGAATGACTGCTCATGGAATTTTAGCTATTTTGGGGAGAAAACTATCTTGATAACGCAAGAGTTTTTAATTTGTGGCAATTGATTATATTATAGGAAAATGGCTGACTGAGGTTCCATCAAGTATAATTTCACCAGCAGAGAATCGATTACATAGTTAGAGAAGAAGCCAAAGAATAACACTTGGAGATGAGTCACTTTGCTACAATATTTCCCCCCAGTACTTTGGAAAGGATATTGAGTATAGATTAAACCAAAATGCAATTTTATTCCATACCTTTTATCTCTTCAATGATTCTCAAAGTACCGTTTGGATGGGCTGAGGTATACTCCCTGACCCCGACATACAGCCGGTCGCTTTCATGGCCGCTGTTATAAAAATAGAATTGTAAGCACTGAAAGCCCCTTTTGGGATACAGGATTCGGCTCTCCAGGATGGCTGTGCTTCCCTCTGCTCCAGCGCTGGTGCTGAAATGCATGAAGAAGCCTGAATCTGTCAAGAGTCAATGAGAAATGAATGATAGAGGAGAGAGAAAACAAAATTTTCCTGGTGTCCCAGTATTCTTTACACCGTATTGTAACACCACTAGTGGACGTGGTCAAGTCAGGGTCAGGGTAAACTGGACCCTGCACAAATCCTCAGACTGAGGACCGATACCTGTCCACATTCTCCAGAAGCAGAACTGTTCTCCTTGCAACATTGTTTTCCTCATTTGCCTATCTCTAGCAATTTTTACTCAAAAGCATGGGCTTTTACTCTTTACCTAGTGCCTAATTCACAGTTAATTCTCTCATTGGAGGACTGGTTTAAGCTCCTGAACTCATGAAGTTTCCTCTGACAGATTCAGAAAAAACTGGCTATATTCTCAATGAATTTTTCACCTGAGCCCTGATACTATAAGTCATTTCTAAATCCTAATCTTTTCCAAAGACTTACTGAACAATTGCTCAGAAAAGCAGCAATCCTTCTGGTGTGCCTGTACCATAGGTTAGAACATTTTATATAGTTCTTGTGTCAGGATGTGACACTGAGATTAGAAAACAAATCAAATGAGATAAGGCCATTCAGACTTCTCAAATAAGCAGACAATTAAACTTAGCACATGATATCCCTAAGGACGTACATTTATGTTGCTTAGTTAAAAAATAAACTGTAATTTTCAGCAAATAAACAGAGGGCAGGGCCAAGATCGAAGTCAACTCACATGCCTCTGCAGAAAATGCTTCCTAGAGAGATAAGAACAGTCTTTTCTCATACCTTTACATTGTCCCACATTAGTGTGATCAGTATTTGGCCCAGCAGGAATGTGAGACAAACGCTGCCAATCACTGTTATCGTCTGAACTTTGAATCATGCCACATATATTTTCAAGTTCAAAACTGCAAGTGTCCATGAAACTTAGGGAGGAGGCTATAACAATTAAAAAAAAAAAAAAAAAAAAAAAAGGAAAAAAAAGTTTTTAATTTCTCTATTACATGACATATATTTCAATTCTGAAAGTCCAAAGCCAAGAGCAGGGAAAACCTACATGCAAACACAAAATAATCAGAAGCTTCACATACCATCAGCATTCATAGGTATAATGTTCAGGAACTCAAAGCATTTTAAAAAAAAAAAAAAAAAAAGAAAAGGAAAAAAAAGTTTTTAATTTCTCTATTACATGACATATATTTCAATTCTGAAAGTCCAAAGCCAAGAGCAGGGAAAACCTACATGCAAACACAAAATAATCAGAAGCTTCACATACCATCAGCATTCATAGGTATAATGTTCAGGAACTCAAAGCATTTGGCAATTAATATTGACATTAATGAGATGTCATCAGGACCACTGTAGGCACTTAGCACGCAGAGGACGGTCCCATCTTTTACTTATAAAAGGACCACTAGTACCAGCCCCAACCCACCAACCTTCACACAGCCTAAAAGGTCCTGAGACCTCCCACTCATTCCTCTGCTTTCTTTGGGCCAGTCCATATATCGCCACAGATTTTGATACAGGTTCACTAATGAATCAGCTGGAGTGCTTATTTTTAAATATAGTAGAGCAGAAGTTATTTTGCTGCAATAAGTAAACCTTGATTTTCAAAATGTTGGCTTGAAAAAAAAATTGGCAAAGGTACATTTGGGACCAATGGATATTTCGTCCAAATTTTAAGATGTTTTGCACATAACAAGTGAAAAATTAAGTGAAGGAAAACTGTGCAGTTGAATAGGAAATGGAAAACACTGTATAAAATGTTTTCTCTGTCCAAAAGAAATCTTGAATGGGTGAAGTAAAACACAGTCCAGGTTTACCCCTGTTCTTAGATTTGTTTCTCATTGTACCATGTCTGAGCTGATGATTTGAAAACAACTAAGTTAATAAAGTGCTTCATGATTATTGCTTTTCAAATAATGTCTAAAGTATTGTGGCATGTTTAAAAGTCCCACAAGAAGGACCTTAAGTATCAGAAAAATCAACCTCAATGTCATGCCAAATGCTTCACTTAGGCTGTGGCTCAGGGAAGCACTTGAGTATGAACTGCTGCCAAATCAGTAGTACTGCTGAGATGCTTTGTACCATCCTCATAGAAAGCCACAACTCTCTGGTGGTTGCAAGGATTTCAGATGTGCTGTGTGACCGATACCTTTTAAGACACAGTATTGGCATGATGATGTAAAAAACAAGAAAAGATTTTCATAGTAAATGTTATTTTGACTGCTGGAGAAAGAAAGAAATCCAGGGTGTCAGCAAGAAGGTAAGCAAAAATGGAGAATTATTAGATGAAAGAACTCTTTGAAATCAAAATTTTTTTAAAATACAAAATAAAGTATGAAATCGATTTGCCCAGACAGGAAAGCAGTAGCCTAACTACCTTAATTAGAAGGTCCTGGCTGGAGTGGTGAACCTGCACAGCAGGAAGAGAGGAAAGCAATACTCAGTAGCTTACAATGTGTTTCTTACATTGTGCAAGATTAATTCTAGATTAGAGAATCCCCACTCTCTAATGAGACAAGGGAAGGGGGCACTGCTTGAGGGAGGTTTTGAACTCCCTCTGCACCAAAAGCCTGAGACTTTGTTGGTATGTAATGAAAGGCTGGACTTGGAAGAAAATACATGGGGGGTGATTGGTGAGTCCTAACTTCCAGAGGCTGAAGCAGACCTCGTGGTCAGGTCTGTTAAGTGTTCTAATACTAGAAGGGGAAAGTAGGCTAAAATCTACTATTATCATATGGCCTGAAAGACAGTCATGAAGAAGAGATCAAAACAGAACTAAAGTATCGGTCAGGATTTCTTATGATGTGGGTTGTTTTTCAATTTAAGAACCAAGTTTCCCATTTTTAATGCAATTTCCTAACCACATGGTCCTTCAGCAGAAATTCAGCTTAAACTTTTCCTTAAATCATGCTCAGCAACAGAAGTAATCTTTTGATTCCTCTGGGAGGATATCTACCACCCAAACCATGTCTGGCGTTCTCAGTATTCCCTCTAACCTGAAAGGGTAGAGGTTGGGTGGGTGAGGGCTAGGACCTGTGAAGCACCCGTCCTCCCTGGCACAGGGGCCACTTGGGCAAATGGTGGGTGAACTGAAGACCACATGTGGCTCTGCCAATATCGTGCACACTAATCAAAGCCAAGGGACAGACTGGGAAGCAGCGCAGGTCCTGATTGCACTGGGGGTAGTGGCAGATTTGTCACTAATTTCAATGTAATTCATGTAATGCACGAGAACAATGGAAAGTTTATAAGATTAATTGAGAGTAAGAAGGACCCCATCCACTGTAAAAGATATCCCTAGCTGTAGGCACTTCTGTTACACCTAAGTGAGTCTGTGCCAAGCGCTGGTAGGTGAGGTTGCATGTAAGTGTGAGTTCAGTTTAGACCTACATGAACAGAAATATTTTCAACAGAATTGTACGCTCAAAGAATTCACTGTTTTAATAAAACAGTTTGATAATTACTTGAGGTATCTGTAGAATGAAGCCTAAAATATAATTGTAAACCAGTACTCACCACTTGGTATACTGAGGCAGCGAAGTAAAAGTTTTCAACTGAGTACCAGGGCTCATTTGATGCAGTCACAATTACAGAATTATGTTCCAGTTTAGTAATCGAATTATCTGTATTTCTCTGTCTCGAACTTTCACTCAACTTTCTAAAATTAATCCCACATGAGCAAAATAACTCTTTTGACCACTTTTGTAAGAGGCTGGGTTGGAAACTAAAAATAAAAATCTAAAAAGCTTAGATTTTCTTCCCAATAGCATCTGTACCCTGTTTGCATGAACACACACTCTGTCTCTCAGATTGCGTGAGAGCAGAGTAGGTACGATAGCCACAGCAAAGATACTCATTTCTGTACAGTGTCTGAGCAACAGCTGCAGAATAATGGGGGAAAAAACAAAAAGCTTGGTGCAGAAGCACACATTTTAAACAGCCACCCAAGGGATGAACAAAAATCAGCTGCTGAGTGAAGCTGGTTTTTAACTAAAGGTCAGATAAAATTGCACAGAAAACTCTGCTACACAGCAGTATTTCTGCAGGAGGGCTATGCTATTTCTAGCTCTACCATTATTTCTGGTGTTTTTAGCACAATTCACTTCTCCAAATATGTTAGCATCTCTTTCACTTGTGCCTGGATGAGTCCAGAATGTATATATCACCCTCATTTCTTTCAAATCCCAGAAGTGAATAAAAACAAAACAAAACAAAAAAAATAAAGAAAAGAAACAGAGAAACTCACAGCAATTGTACAGCCGGTTCAGTTTCTGGAGATCATAATCACTGAAATCCATTCGCTGTCCTATAACATCCATGAAGTCTGGTATTTTAGTGACGATGGTGGGTTCAGTTCCATTCATGAATGCAGTTTGGCTATAGTGCATCACAGAAGTATAGTCATAGGGAACATTCAGGGAGTCTGATGTTGTGTCATCATATTTGTTGAAATTATGCTCTTTACCTAAATAAGAAAGATAAAAGGAAAGATTTTTTGTTGCCCAAGAGGACCAAGTTTTGATGTACAGTCTTAAAGAGACAAAGAAGCCATCAGATCCCCATGTATTTTTTGTAGTTGTTACTTGTACTTAATTCGTAAAACTATTTTATTTCTAGGGTTAATTACTTTCCTCTTTCAGCCACTGGGACATAACATGATGACCACTGCTGGACGAAGGAAAGCTTTTTGCTACCAGAAATCTTTTCCCTGTGAAACTACCCATAACCTTTGATAGGCTTGTGGTACCCTAAAGTGGAAATACTGTTTCAGTACTCAAATTAATGCAATTTGCAACTGTAATCTCTCCCTGTTTCTAATCTGTGTTCTCTGGTGTTTAATTGGTGGTCATTTTAACTCTCAATAAACACCATAGAGTTCTCATCAGATAAGCTTCCAGAATTTAACTTTGCCAATATTTTTTTTGAGTATGAGCAAAGAACCATTACTAACTACCCCATGGAAGGTAAAGTTTTAAATGTTTTAAATTAGTCAAAATACAGTAACTATACTCTGGTCAGTGTAAAAAAGATGCAGCAGTTTCAAATGGGCTAACAACAGCACAATTTGTCATTAAAGAGTCAGCAAAATAGAACGGAAAACAAATAACAGAGTCTAAGTAATTTTCTGTAATATATACTTCCATATGCACCTGACTATTGATCACAGCTAAACAAAAATGTATTCAATTTAATCTTTATCTGTTTTTTTCAGTCTTCTGTGTGTACCTGTGTTAGGAAAGCATCAAGTCTGTAAATAACTTTGTTTTTGAACTGCCTGGAAGTCAGAGAGGACGATGCCAAGCTGAAGAGGCAGAGACCGAGCAGAGTCCCAAGGGTCCCTGTGCCACCTCTCAGGCTTGTGCCAAATGTGCCAGCCCTTATGTTCACAGGCTGCATCGTTAAAGTAACCACTCCTGGGATGCAGACACCCTGCAGGGGGTTTCTCCTGTCTATACAACCTCTCTGCCCTCTCTGCTATCTCAGCTCTGCTGCCCACACTGGGTGTAGCAGCTGGTGAGAAAGAGGAACACCGGTGTTTTCACTGGAGACTTTCTACTGGCTTTGGTCGCACTGCATTTTTCAGAGTGGGATTAGTTTTTTCTGTTACTTTTGTTTTGTCAAGGGCTGCCAGAGTAACATTGCTCTTAGAATATTCATTTAAATAAACTAAATGATTCTCTTCTGCTGCTCTTCTGTACAATATGTAGTATAACAGAACTCAGGTCTCTTGTGAGGTTTCTGGGAGCTGTTGTGGCACAGGGATTAACCACAGCAACAACATACGAGGCTTTCTGTACCAAACAGATGTCACTTGATATTTAATTTATTGATACACTGGCTCTGAAAGTTAAGTCCAAGTGAGAGCATAGTGTGGCCACTGAAGGATGGCTGGAAGGGATGTTTACTGCTAAACCTCCTAACACCAGAGTCTGAAAGGAAAAGCCAGGGAGTGACTGACCAGCCTGAATCCTGTCCCACATGATGGACACGTAGTCATCCCTGTCGGACCGCGACTGCTCATGCCAGAATCCCAGGGCATGCAGGAACTCGTGCTGGATCGTCCCAATCCTGTCACAGTTGGCCCCGATGGAGAGCTGCTGCAAGCCCTCTCGGCGGTTTCCCACTGAGGACCAGCAGCTAGAATAAAATGAGAGAGTGCTCTGTCAGACACATACCATCCCTATGCCACGTGAGCTCCAGAATCAGTCTGTTCAACAGGTACATTTTTAACTTGAGCGTTGAAGTTACATTTTGCTGCATCGAGCAGTTTTTCATTGATCTGTTCCTTACCAGATCCTTTCCTCTTATATTTATCTCTGTTTCCACGAACAATAGGTTTCCTTTAGCAGAAAAATGTTGAGCTATTTGTGACAGAATAAGACTGATGAGGATTTTATTGGTACCCTGGTAAACATCGAAGACTGTGGACACATGATTTAGAGCAATTACTGTGAATTAATAATTTTTAGCTGAAGCACAGTATGTGACTGTGACTGCACTTTGAGCCTGTCCTTATCATAAGGTAAACCAGGTTTAGCTTCTGAAAAGCTGGTGGATTAGACAGTGTTTTTCACAAGCTCTTTTCTTTCTAGTTATGTGTGAGCACTTGAGGCCGACACACACTCTCAAGGAAGAGCAAAACCACAGCTGTGCTGGAAGTTTTTACTAAAGAATAAAAAAATTCAGCAAGCTATCTGCACAAGCCAATAAAAATGGCACCCCAGGTCCACAAACTAGCAAACACAGAGAGTTACATTTAAATTGATATTTTATGCAGCAAATAAATCAACACTTACCCAATGAAGTCCATAAAATTAGTCGGGCGCAAAATATGCCATGGAATTTGTAGTCCTATCACCCCAGAAATTTAAAAACACAAGCACACCATGTGCTTTCAAACCCTGTAACTTATTAGCACAACACATTCCCCAGTATTTCTCTTTCCACAAAGCAGCAGAGGCCTTGGCTATCGATTACTCATTAAAATCACAGCATGAGACCTAGGAAGGAGCACATGTGGTATCCATGATTTCACGGGCTTCCCTTGAACAAGGCCTCGTATCAATTATGTCTGGTTGTGCAAAAGTCAAAGAAGTCCATCACAGTTCCGGGTCCACCTCATACCAAAGCAGCTGCTTCTGGATACAGGCATATCCAAGACACTTGGCAAAATTAACATCCAAGCACCAGAGGATGCAGCTTCCCCTTGCCTTCAGCCTGCCAAATGCCTGTGACAGCACCATTCTGCAGCCACGGAGGGAGTCCATGCTTGGTCTGTGTGCCCCAGCACTGAAAATAAAACTGGTGAGTGGGACAGGGCAGCTGAGAGCAATGGGCACCTGAAACCCCATGTCAGCGATGCCTTTAGGAGGGGAGAAAATGGGGTTGGGGGGAGGGAATTCCTAGCTTCTCCAATTGTGTGAGAGCCGCATCTCCCCTTATTCAACGCTTTCTGCATTGCTAGATGCTCCAGAAGAGGTTAGAGGAACACAGAAGTACCTGGTCTGACTAATCCCGCCAGCCTTCTTTCTGGAAGATGGGCTGTAAGTAGATACATGCCATCAATAGCAACAATGCCATCCAGAAATCCTGTTTTCTGAGAGCCAACACTAATTTCAGGCACATTTTTATACTATTGTCCTGCTAGTAAATAGCTTCCCATAGTATCACAGCTCACCACTATCAGCACACAGACACTTTGACTTACCAGCACCAAGCTGGTTAGCCAGGGATCTGTATCAACCCACTTCTGCATGGGTTCCCTTTGCTGACCTGAGGTGAACTCCGAGGAGATCTCCATGAAAATCCGATGCCCCATGGGGAAACACTAGAGATGGGGTTGATCCGCCCTGGTCTGCTAACCATTTGACTCTACCACACCATGCAAGTTTTCCTGCTGAATGAGTCCTGCTCTTCATGAGAAGATTAGGGAGAAATGGCACATCCATCTCAGGATGCCATCCCAGACTGCTCCATGAGCTTAGCAGGCACCTGCCACATCCAATATTCCTGCATTTCCATAATTCACAAGCGTCCCTCATGTATTTTGCTTAGCACACAGGCTGGAGTCAAGAAAAGGTCTTTAGATTCATAGTCTAACCTCTGCTGCAGATGCATAGAGCTGAATAGAGGGTGAGGCAAAAGGCTGTGTGCTAGAAAACCTTACATGTACCTCTACTCACTTAGCATTATGAATATAAATATATGTCTGTAAATATAATGTAGGCAGCAGCCAAGGCTTGGCAAATGGTAGATAAAGAATGTGGACACAGAGAGGGCTCTTTGCATGGGGGTTGATGACACTGTTTATGACCACAAATATATTTACACCGGGCTGTCCACCCAACAAAATGGCAGCTGGCTTCTTTTTTGGCTGACTTCATTTGAATAAAAATGGATAAACCAGACAGGGACTTTATGGCCTTTTGGCACAAAGTTCCCCCACATTCCTCTGTCTGGTTTATAAATGCAAGCCAAGATATGAAAAGCAAAGTTGATTTATCAACTTCTCATGGTGAATCCAGCTGGCGCTGCCAGGGGCTGTGTGCTCCTCTCTGCACTCTACCCTCTGGACTGAGGTCTTCAGTCCACAGTTAGAGAAGTCCTAGCTACTTGAAAAAAAAAATAGTTAGGAAGGGCAGAGTGAAAATGGGTTGATTTACCCACGTTTCACCTTGTGCCCTTATATGGGAAGGGAGGAAGGGAGTGCAATGAAAGGCACTTAGTGCAGGGTCAGTCCTGATAATTTCTGTGTACAGCCCCAAGTGAGCTCACTGAAACTGGACAGCCATTTTCAGGAGACTGCACCGTTTATCTCCAATCTTTTAAAAAGTGCTGCTGAGCATTAATTGCTTTATGGATGTGTCAGCTGAGATGATAGAAACATTTCAGGGCAAGCAGCACACCAGGCAGTGAGGGCAAGATATGTTATCCCACTGCAGTGACTCGTCTTCTTCGTCACCATGACTCATCTATTTTTAATAGACATACAAATGAAATATTGTGCAGAGGCCTCTTACTTGCCATAGGCTAAACATTGTGGTTCCTTTTCAGGTGCAATTATTAGCAAATTCAATGCATACTTTATGTGATGAAGGACTAAAAAATTTAGCAACATGAGTTTTCCATTTGGCTCAAAAAGCCGAAGAGTCATTAGTACAGGAAAATGCATTGCTCCCCGAGCCTCCACTTATACATCTTTTAGGGTTGAATTTCAATGTCATGTGCACAGCATGAAGAGTAGCAAATATAAAGAGCCAGAGACCAAAGAAAATTTGAAACAATTATCTGCTACAAATATCTCAGAAGAAGCCAAAGGGAAAGGGAAACATTTCTATTATCAGAAAATCTTTTCCCATTTATGAATGCATTCTCATATCAGGAAATGATTTTCCAAAAGTAAATTTCCTCACCAGGCTATCAAGCTTTCCCTGATCTTTTCTAATAGAGAAATGGCTGAGTATAGAGTGGAGAATATATTGTTCTTGTTGCATTGTTTTGGCAGAGACTGTCTTAGAAAGAGAAGCAGCTGTGGCAATTTTGACTTCTTTACTGGAGTCTTATTTTGCAAAATTTAAGGTTGAATAGCATAATTATTCATCAAAAGTGGTAAATAAACAGAAACCTCTGTGAAATATCTCAGTGCTGTGCAGCATTTAAAAATATTGCTGTTATATCCGAACGCTGGTTTGACATTGTTCAAATGCTATTTCATTTGTTACAGTTAAACAAATTCATTGTCCCACAGTTAGAATTACCATATCTCTGCTGGGATTTTTTTTTTTTTTCTGAAGACTGAGATATACTAAGAATGACCATTTGAAAGTGACACTATATATCCAAAGATCAGTCAAGAAAATATTTGGCTTCTTTCTGATATCTTTTACCACACCCAGAAAATTATCTCTTAAAGGATTTGTTTGCCTCTTACATTTAAAAGTAAGTAACAGCAAGAAATTGTTCATTACTACCTAGTTAATACCTGTTTGGGAAACTTTTACAATTTCCAGTTAAAAAAAAAAAAAGGACTGGAAAAACAGACACAATAAAAATACAGAATTATAATTAGATATATGAGTTTTAGAGTGAGTACTGGCCATCAAAATAGCCTGTAGGCAAAGAGGATGAGAGTTATTTTACATTACTCCTCTTACCCACTTCCTTTGAAGACAGATATGTAGTTCTTCTCCCCTGCCCAAGGTTTGAAGTCAATGCAGGTTTTCAGCCGATACTGTTCAAATGCCTTGAGGATGAGCCCCTTAGCATTCATTTCTGCAAAGCAAACAGTGTTCTTGTCAATACTGAGCCAATAGATTTGTATTGCTAGCTGTATGAAGCAAGTCCTAAGGGTGGGTCTTGCTCCAGCAATCTTTGATTAAAATAAGAAGGCTTTTTTGCTGAATTAAGACTTGGTAGGGACCTAAACTCCATAAATCAGGTTGTTATGGCATCTATTCCTCTTGTTTTGTTTCTGTGTAATTTTTCTTTGGTACTTACGTATAAAATAGGAAATGGTGAGTATATAATACATGATAGCACGTGGTTCTTCATTTTGCAAATTCTGTCATTGACTTTGCTGAGATTTATGTGAGCAAGTACTGAATAAACAGGGAACAAAGATGTCAGATTTCACCCAGTGCAGATCTCAGGCTACAGATCTCTCACAGAGCCTCTCCAGGACTTCAACTGCTAACGTTATGTCTGAGGTACCTCCTCTAAGCAGCTTTTATAGTCTCAGACCCCTCAGAGGTTTAGATCTGAATTTAAACTGGGAGTGGGTGATATATTTTTTCCCCCACATTGTGTAGCACGGGCACAATCTCCCCATGCAGTACACGGTAGGAACTCAAGCTCCCTGTCTCACTGCTTGTGGATTTGAAGGGATGGACAACAGGGGACTCAGCAATGTGCTGTTGCAAACCGCATTGCCTGCCAGAATGCCAATTTGCTGTGGGTGCTGCAGGTAACGTAAATGGCCAGGTAAGCTTTCTTGCTTTGAAAAGATCTTCAATATTTTTCTTTCTGCTTAGCACGGTTTCACATCTCAGACATATGCTTTTAAGATCAAATCAATCTGCTGGCCCATTGCGATGGCAGGATAAGAACCATCCAAGAAAGGAGGTGAGAGCCAGCACCAGCACCAAGATTATAGACCCTGCTTGTGCCCACCATGGCCCAGTCCTCCTGTGGGAAATGGTCTGCTTGAGACTTGGAAGAGGAAAGGATGCCATGGCATCTTTATCAACCCATTCATAACATTTCAATCAACACAACATGCAGACATTGTCACTGGCAAATACTGTACCCAGGCTGTCTTCAAGGACGTAGGGGATAACATGGGGCCACCGATAGTTGTCACCAATGATGGAGTTTCGTTCCTGTGTCCGAGAAAGAAAATAAATATGTAGTCCCTACTAGAAAGTGGTTTAAGATCAAGGACTACTAGTGCTAAAGCATGTCTCCTGCAAGTCCAAGAAATCAAAGAGCTCAAAAACTTTGGAAGATCAGTCAGAGGTCTAAGGCTTGGTTCTGAACTTCTACCAGCGTCTCCAACTGCTGCAGCATTTTCTCCAAACAAATAACCTGAGATTTTAATGCATGTGTGACGGGAGCTTCAGCTCCTGTGGGAAGCATTAAGATCTACAGTCCTGAAAATTGCACAGAGATCAGTAATTCTGCAATTTTTCATAATGCAAGATTTAGTTCCTATGCCTTTAGCAAGTGCTTTCATTGCTTCCACTGATATGCCACAGCCAAAGCAGTTCACCAAAAGGGAGAATAAAACACTACTGACTTTCAGGGGTACAAGACACTTTTGGGGTTTCTATTAGGAGATGTAACTTGCTATGTAATTCATTATTATTTTTTTAATTGATCAGATAGCATTACTGGACAGATACTTTAAAATGTGGTATTACAGATTTAATTTTTCCACTGCTTTTAGTGAATCTACTTAAATGATGAAGGTTTTGCAGCACTGGTCTGTAAATTTAATTGGCTCATAATAAATATGGTGCTGATAAATCACGAATCTTTTATATAAACCTGTCTGGATGTAATCAGTGCTACTGAATCTCTTAAAAGTACAAATATAAAAACCACAATAAAGGAAACAAGGAGCTAATAATATTGATCCAATGGCTAACCCAACCTTATTCTGGATAATGTTTCTGCAAATGCGCCCGACTCTTTCATTGTCTATGACATTTGGTAGAAATCTATTCCCAAACATTTTCAGTTTATTGTTACATAAATAGCATTTACTGTTAGGAGGAGCAGGATGCATCAATCGTTTCCATGCCAGTGATAATTTACATTGCGTAAGTCAATGACACATTTCTGGTTTTATATTTTACATTTGAACTCACCCTGTCAAGTTTGATGTCTCCCTCAAAAAGGTCTAGTCCTAAAGCTAAAGGGAAGAGGAGATTAACATTCAGTTATTGTATTGATTTGTGGCTACCATAATGAAAATCACCAAAAAAAATTAAAAGATAAACTGAATTTTAAAAACCTTCATTGATGTCAAAGATGTCTTGATCAATTCCTCCATCTACATCTATTTCTGAAAAACAAAAAGACAAGTGAGGTAGGACATTAGCCCTTGCTGTTATCTTTATGAAGTGTGAAAATTAATGCAATAACAATAACAGTAATTATAAATCTGTGTCTGTCCTAGCGATGTTTATGAGCAGCTGTTTTTGTTGACTGCCTCCCATGCATACAAATAGATCTTTAAACAGAACTCACCAGTTGTCTCTGGAGCAGGCTGGGGAGGGGGAAGAAAAAAAAGATATTATTAGAAAGGCACATAATGAAATGCAGCTCGCGTTACTCTCAACAGTATTAGAGATGAGATTTAAGCTCAACTGACAGCACTTAGTGCATGGCTTTGTATTGGATTGACTGGACACACTGCCTTCTCATTTGATGGGAAATGTTTACTTGCTTATGTGCTGGTTTTGTGTCCTTGCCACTTCAGGTTGCCCAACAAGTCAGTTGCCCAGTACAACTTCTGTGAAGTTTTCATGGCTGTTTTTCTCTCACAACTCAGACAGTGCCTATTGGTCTTTCACAACAGGAAAAAAAGAGCTTATTATTTCTATTAAATCAAGTATTGCTACTAGTCCAGTGCTCTTACAGAACCTATGGAAGCTATGTTTGACTTTCCATTGTAAAGCTGAAGATAGGGCAATCCAAAATCTGTATTGGAGCAAGACCATAATGAGATATAGGTAGCACACTTTTCCTTGCCATAACATGCCCATAGAATATAATCTATATCCATCTATTGGACTAGACACTTCATTTTGGACTGGCTTGGACATACTTGATGTAATACTATGCAACTATTTCTCATGCAGTGAGTAAAATCATGAACAGCCTTTCTAAGCCATTGTTGTTGGCTGGATTTTCCTTTTGTTTTTTTTCCTTGTATTTGAATGTTTGAAAATATGTTCACAAACTGAAGGTTAAAAACACCCTTAAATTCTAAACTCTGACAATATAGGTTACAGATATAGAAATGATAATATATAACAGTAATTCTGCAAAGCGGGGTGGAATTTTTGCTTTTATTTTTACTATAGCTTTCCCCCTGACTGTTTTTCTTTCTCCATATAAATAATTTGTTAACTTTTGTACATGCAGTTTTGTATGTAGGACTTATTTTTCAGTGTGATAACTACCTACAACCTCCATTAAAAGCAATGATGAGTACAAGATCAGAATGTTGAAAAATGGCAAAAGTCAAGTCCATGCAATCCACAAGAATATTAATTTTGGTAATTTTTGCCATCTGTATGATGCATAAGGAAATAGCAGGGCCAGAATGTTCAAGGGAGATTTAAATGCACATGTTCTTCTAGACCTGGCTTTTTGGCACATAATGATGGGAACAATTCTAAGGGCAAACATAACTGTGGGCCCACAAAACTTATGGTGTTCATATTAAACCTTAACCAAATGCAGAAAAAGAAAATAATTTCAATGAAATTTCTTCATTTGTAAAACGTTCAGAAAGAAAGCTTTGAAATTGTCAGAATTTCCTATTTTAGCTTTTTAATGATAGATTCAGTTTCAATCCGAAATGACGGTCTTGTGATAACTTCAGCAAATGACAGAAAAAATATTGTAAATACAAAAGCCTGAAACCGTATTTTGTCATTCTTGAGTCACCTGAACTAAAATTAATTGAAACTGTTGCTTCACAGTTTTTGTCAGATTTGATCATTTATTCTGATTGCCTGAGACAGGAAACCCATTTTTTGTCTAACCAAGTAGAAGTTATAATTTATAGGTTTAAGAGATATAATGCCTAATTGGTATGAGCTGGCATAATCAAATGCTTAATATCTAAATGTTATATAACCAGGCAAAGTTTTTAATCAACAACTTCTTCTGCTTCTTAATTTTCTTAATGAAAACTACCACGCACATATGTCCTTGCCCAGTCTAAAGGCAGGATTTTAACCTTGAAATGCTGGTTACAAAAACCATTGAGTAGAATTAGTTTCCTGACCCAATGTCTCCTGAAACAGCTCTTTTTCAGTATGTCACACGTTTAGATTGTTTCAAAATTTGACAGATTTTAAGATACCTTACTTTTAAAAACCCAGTGTTACTGTGGAAAATTGACCGAGTCCACTGAAAAACTGTTTCCAGAGTTGGGCAGATGCAAATGCTGAAGGATTGATTTTGATCTCACATTTCACTGAGTTTACTGGTATTATTCAGGTTTACATTGATACATTATAAATAAGGATGAGGACTTCAGAAAAAAAGAAGCAGCATAGAACTGTATACAGGTACAGTTTAATAACCCAAAATATCTTTTCTAGATAAATCATCCATAAATCTGAAATGTCAGTAGGCTCCTCTTATATTCTGAAGTTCTATTGCAGATATATCCTCTCGTTACATTTATCACTGGAGGTACATAAGACAGCATCCAGTCCACGTATTCAAGTTCTGAAATGAAAGTGCGGCTTGTAAAACAAGCTGAAGATACATGGGCAAAGTGCGTAATGCACATTTTGAAGACTTAATTTGCTTTTAAAGTCCCGTTCCCACCCAGATTTCTAGTGAACGTGGAAGAAAAAAATGACAAGTGAAGCTTGAAATATTCAAAATTTAAAACTACATTATCATCTTTCCTAGCACAGATTATTGATTGAGGAGAATAATCATACCCATGTATGCTGAATCACCTTATAACCATTAACAGAGAGTAGAATGTTTTTACAGCTACAGTAATTGTAAACTACAATGTTCCCATATCAACTAATCAGAAACATAATTGTGCTAAAGATGAAAACTGGCTGGCTCATGGAAAAGCTCCTCTACCTGCAGGAAAAGCTCACAAACTGAAATCAATGTAGCTAAGTCCAGCAGTACTTTTGATGCATAAACCAATATGCGAGTCCATGGCTGAAGAATAACAAATTCAGCAATTGACTGAAACCCAGGCAGGTCCTCAATATCTGAAAACTGTCTCGGAATGTTTTGTGCTGAAGGAATCCTTTTCATCACTCCTTCCCACTTCCTTCTCAACAAAACTAGGTCTTTAGTTCTGTGAATTGCAGCAGCAAAATACCCAGTTTCAAAAGGAGTATCTCTGCGTATAAGTATTACTCGTTTGAGTGCAACAGCTTTCATCTCAGTACTGACCCTGACAACTGAGACCTATATGATGAATTTCTAGTCTGAATGGCTGTAAATAAATAAATAACAGGTTCACAGTTCACATTCACATACAGAGGAAGGTTATATTACCTGCGGTCTACCAAAGAAGACACTAAAATCTAGTTTAACCAATGCTACTTTTAAATCTACACACGCAAAAAATTCTGAACAGTCATAATATTAGTCTCTAACTTTGGAAAACAACATGGTTTATGTGAATTTAGTTACATTAAGGGTTGGGCAAACCATGGTTTGTGAGCACATTTAACTGGCAAATAACTCAAATACGCCTTGAACAGGTGGGAACCGCCTCACCTATTTTAGTCAGGTAAAACCTAGGTAGGTAAACTCACTTAGTAATCAGTGAAGAAACAAATGGGTAATTGTGTACATAATTAATCTGTCCCTAAAATAGGTATGGTACCACCACGATGCCCTGGCATCTCCTGAAGATGGATCCACCTCACCTAGCTTGCACATCTATTCAAGGATTTGATAAATCATTCTGTGAAAATTGTCCTGTCTCTCCATGAACTTCAGATGGAGTATAGTCAACCAGTTTAGATGAGACACCCTAACTCAGTGTTTTCTCCAACCTATACAACTTCTAGTATTGGCACCCAGAAATACAAAACAAGGCACATGGAAATAAGATAATTAGCCCTGGTGATCAGAAGTCCCTCTCTCACACAGGACCTGGTCATTAGGAGCCAGTTCAATGTGTGATAGCTTGTGGACTTTAGTAGCACCCTGCATCACCTACTACATGCTTTGCCAAAGCCTGTAGAAGAATCTAAACAAGGCTGAGGCTTGTGTTTCCAAACGGTTGGAAACAGATGAACAGTGAGTCATGATGGGTAGTGGAAATACAAGGAAAGCGTGAAGCTGGGGTAGTGGGGGATACAGGAGGGAAAGCCGGGGACATGAGGTTGAGCTCTTGATATAGGGAGATGCATGAGCACGTGTTTGTGGAGAGGAAGAGGGTACGACAGCCACAGTGAGATATTGGAGCTGGACTCACAGAATCAAAGAGTTAAGTTGCCTAACTTAAAATAGTTAATGTTATTCCACTTAAGTAATGTCACAATAAGTAATAACTACTCTGTAGATTACCCTGAAGCGATGAACAGCTGAAATGAACTTTCAACACCTTACTGTTTCTTTTTCTCTGAAATAATTATATTGTGTATCACCAAAATTCCTGGTCTTTACAATAAATTATCACAAGATGAGTAAAATTTCGCTACAAAACACAGGCAATGCAAAATCTCAGTTGTTATTTTTTTGACATACATATACATTCCCATGTATAGCCAGGCCAATTAAAAATAGCAGCACTAAGACTCCAAGGAAATAGAAATTTTTCTCTCTCTTCCATGCAGGTGACAACAGAATTCTTATTTTGCAAAACTGATATACTTAAGTCTTTTCCTCTCAGTCATCTCAAGCTGCATTGCTTACTTGATCATAAAAAGAACATGCAGTCTTTGTTTTCTTACCCGACTCCAGACCGCCTGAAGAAGACAAATTAGGAGCACAGACACAGAAAACCAACCCATGTTGTGTCCAGTCAGCTGATATATGGAGAGAATTTCAGACCAACTTGGTATTTAAAGCAGCAAATACCATAAATCAAAACTTTTGAACTTCAGTTACCTATTAACTTTTATTTACCTTTTTCTTGTTCAGTAAGCAAATCATTACTATATTACAGTAACTAACATATACTTTAACTATTTTTAAGTACTGCTGTGAGAAAAAGTATTGGACATAAACTGAAGTACAGCATTAAATGGACACAAGAAAACAGAAATATAGAGGAAATGGATACATTGAAATACAAAATCACAGAATCACAGAATCTTCTAGGTTGGAAGGGACCTTAAAGATCATCTTGTCCAACCGTCAACCTAACTGACAAAAATAGACACCCACACAACAAACAAGGAGCATCATCACTAAACCATACCTCCCAGCACGACATCAACCCGTCTTTTGAACACCTCCAGGGATGGTGCCTCAACCACCTCCCTGGGCAGCCCATTCCAATGGCTGATAACCCTTTCAGTGAAAAAATTTTTCCTAATATCCAGCCTGAACCTCCCCTGGCACAACTTGAGGCCATTTCCTCTTGTCCTGTCGCCTGTGACTTGAGAGAAGAGACCGGTCCCCACCTCTCTACACCCTCCTTTCAGGTAGTTGTAGAGAGCAATAAGGTCTCCCCTCAGCCTCCTCTTCTCCAGGCTGAATAACCCCAGTTCCCTCAGCCTCTCCTCATAAGACTTATTCTCCAGACCCCTCACCATCTTTGTCGCCCTTCTCTGGACCCGCTCCAGCACCTCAATGTCTTTTTTTATGGTAGGAAATACAGGAAATTCCATTTAAATATAAGAAAACCTTTTTTTATTCTAAGGGTTTTTAAGCACTGGAACAAGTTGCCTAGAGAAGTTGTTGAGTTTCCATCTTCGGATACAATCAAAATCCAACCAGACACAGCCCTGAGAACCTGCTGTAGGGTTATTGGACTAGGCGATCCCCAGAGGTGCCTTCCCACCTCAACCATCCCATTTTTCAGTGAATGAAGCCTTTTGAACAACAGGAAGCTAGCAAGACACTTGTATTTTTTGACAGAAAGTGAAAATAGGAAATGTGTGCACAAAAAAAAAAAAAAAATCTGTCAGCAACATAATTTCAGTATCTTGCTTTTAGAAAAGGCAATGCTATTTCTATTGTTGATAGATGTGAAACACTGTGTTTGTCACTAACTCAAATAATGGTATTCTTCTGCATTACTTAAAAATTCTATAAATATTACTTTTTTTATATCAGTACCATTGTACTATCACCCCTGTCTGGTACTCTTTGGAGTTTTAGTTTCTTCCAACTTCAGTCATCTGTTCTACTTGCTAGTTGCCAGAGTGCTGAAATTGCCAAAGTTTCTTCTTATGCTTAAACAGAAGGTACTTGTTGTAATTTTATGATCAGACTTGACTAACCTTCTACTTTCCCAGACCAATTACCTGGTTAGAACATCACAAAAACTAAAAATGACATATTGTAAATACAGACTTCCAAACTGAAGTGCATGGGCTATATGAACCTCTGTGTCACGACCATCGCTGCCCTCAGGACTGGCTAAAAAGTGAGCTACCCAAAGAAAACACTAGAAGTTGTTGGAATTGGCATATAGTAACACCAAACAGAGAAGGTATGCTACATTGTAAAATACAGTCTCTATACACATTCTTCTTCCAATTCACATTGCCTTTTTATCAGTTAAACTTAAACTCAATCAGTCATCGGGTATAATAAAACTCTCTATTGCATCTTTGCAATAGAAAATTAAACAATATATGAACAACAGAATGTCAGGACTTTTTATGCCAAGAACTTTGCCCTAATTTCAGTGTAACCCATGCAGTAGCTAAATGTAGCTAAATGTTTTTTTCCATACACATTGAGGAGAAAGTAATAAATGGGCAGTCTTAAGGAAGCTATTTTCTATCTAATCATGGAAGATTGTTTCTACAGACCTTATCCACCTTTGTGGCCACATTCTTTACAATGACAAATGTCTTGCTTTATCACTGACTTACTAAGTTCAGGTAATATATTTACCCCTCATTTTCCTTAAGGGTTCTGCTACATGACGCCTTGCATTCTACTTTGAAGATGAGAAGCACTATAGCCATATCATACTTCTAAGAACCACGCCCAGAGAAAGAAATAACTGAGTATTACTGGAGATGAACTAATGAAAGATAGTGCAACTTATTTGAGTAGATAATATGCATTTCAGATATACTAAAAGAACAGCAGTCTTAGATCTTGTCTTCATTCTACAGTTACTTGCCATATAACAGCCAAAAGCAATGCTCATCCTTTTTTTATACAGTCAGGGACCTGTGGAATTCAAGGATGTTATTTCAGGTAGAGTCCATCAGTGTCCTGACTACAAGCTCTGTATTTGAGGAAAAGTAAAAACATTAAACACAAAGCAGAAGGACCGGGTCTTTAGCTTGTTGATTGCTTTTTCCTTTCTTGCAATTCTTTGCCTTGAACATGTTTCCCAACTTTTATGGGTGCTATCTAATGAGCCCTGAGTAACTGAGACACCTGCAAAATTTGAGCTTTTGCCAGCCAATTACATTTCTTTCCCCATAGTCATGCTGCTAGTAGAAGCAACGAAAAGGCAAGATATCAGAACTTATGTGGAGCTAGCTGCAGATCTGCTGCAGTGACCGCTTGGATCTCCTCTTGAGGTTCATTTCACCAGCACCAGACAGATGGGCAGCACCATGGAGCAGAGAGCGTTGCCTAGTAGCATTGTGGCCGGCGGGCACTTATTATCCTGCTGCCTTGTTGCAGAAGGAACGTCTGTCAGGCGTTGCCCAACGCAGATGGGAAACATCACCTGCTTTAGTCTTCTTCATAAAGCTGCGTCTGCAGGTAATACTCTGGGAAGAGACAGTAACGGGGGCAAAGAGATTGGAAAAAAATGAGTAACGTACAGGAGAGTGAGAATGCTCATTTTAAAAGCCAAAGGAATTTTAATTTCAAAATGCAATGTCAGCTAACCACAGAGAACCATGAAAACAACTAAAAATAGCTCTATACAGACAGAGACTTTCTAGCATTTTTTGTAGGTAGTTTCACATTTGAACAGGTTTGCTGATCTTCTGTATTTGGGCACAGATGCTTTGATAATTTTGCTATGGGTGTACTGCTCAGTGAACAACGAACGACGGTGATTCATGATTGCTTGTTGACATGTGGGTGGAACCTGACTGATTAGGAGTTTCAATGTCAACTTCAAGTGATATGAATTCAGTAAATAATCTTGAAAAGGGCTGGCTTGTAGAGCATTATGTACCTCACTTAGCAGTGCTTCTAGACCAAATGTAGTAGGAGGATATTCAAATGGTGTGTTATTCTCAGCAGATTGTTCCTTGCTCAGTCTCAAACTCCCCACATTATCTTGCACAAAGCAGTTTCACTTTTTCAGTTAATCATCTCCCAAATGGAGAGAGCATTACAATTTTATCCCATTGGCGATGAGGCAAAAGCACCAATGAAGATAAGCGTTGTCAGATAAACCTGCAAGATAAGAGACAAACAAATCCAAAAAGTTTTGAGTTGAACACCCAAATATTTCAAGCTGGGAAACTCCAGTGTTTACAAATGCAGCAGGTGCCATACGGAATATAATGTAAAAAAGTGAAAATTAAAGCAGGTATCAAATTCAAGTGTTCCATCTTCTTGCAGAGGAACAAACAAGACATGTTTACTTCAAGAGTTATCAAGAAAATGAAGCAGACCTCCACTTTCCTCCCACTGCTTAGCTAGGGGTAAATTAAAAAGCAAGGTTAGAAAGCAAGCAGCAGAAGGTGAGGTGTGTGACGTTGCACCCCTCACTGCCACTTCAGACAGGGTACTTTAACCATTACCCCTTCTTTTGTGTGAGAAAGCAGTGTTTCACCAATTACACAGTTACTTGCACAGGATGACACACACCTCTCCCCCTTTCACAGGAATCTGAATCAGGTCCAACATGTTTTCACAGAAGTATATTTTCATAGAATCATAGAATCGTCTAGGTTGGAAGAGACCCTTGGGATCATCGAGTCCAACCATCTCCCCTACTCTACAAAGTCCTCCCCTACACCATGTCCCTTAGCACTGCATCTAAATGTCCCTTAAACACAGCCAGGGATGGTGACTCCACCACCTCCCTGGGCAGCCTGTTCCAATGCCCTATCACTCTTTCCGTGAAAAATTCTTTCCTAATGTTCAATCTAAACCTACCCTGTTGGAGCTTGAAGCCATTCCCTTTCGTTCTGTCACTAATTACCTGTGAGAGGAGACCAGACCCAACCTCTCTACAGTGTCCTTTCACAAAGTTGTAGAGAGTGATGAGGTATCCCCTCAGCCTCCTCTTCCTCCTACTAAATAGTCCCAACTCCCTCAGCCGCTCCTCATACGATTTGTTTTCCAGCCCCCTCACCAGCTTCGTTGCCCTCCTCTGCACTCGCTCCAGCACCTCGATATCTCTCTTGTATTGAGGTGCCCAAAACTGGACACAATACTCGAGGTGTGGCCTCACCACTGCTGAGTACAGGGGCACAATCACCTCCCTACTTCTGCTGGTCACACTATTTTTGATACAAGCCAGAATGCCATTGGCTTATTTATCATAAAATATCATTTTATGATAAATATGGAACAGAGTACAGTGTGAAACACACCGTGACTGGCATGGGGCTACTAACGCGGCTGTAGCTGGCCACTAAGTCTCATGCCACTACGGAAGGGTACTCCAGGAATACCTACTTCTCTCTGAGGTGACAGAGCACCAGCTTTAGTTGGGGGAATTCTCTCTCCTTTCCAGGCACCTGTAGCAACCCCAAACCATTGAACGTCCAGCCAAAGAACAACTTAACAAGACTTCAAGAGATAACGAAGCATACCTGTATTTGGCATCAGGCAGATGTCACCGCGGCAGCTGGGAAATGCAATTAGCGAGGTCGCTGACATGTGTGCAGTTTCAGAAAGCAAAAAGTCAAAAAAAGCCCCATGGGCTCCTCGGACCAGAATTGAACAGTCCTCAGATGCCCTCGTGTGATTCCTACGTGCACTGCAAGGCTTTGGGTCTGAAAACCAACCTCTGAAGAACGTGCCTGGGGAAGGCAAGGTCTGGCAGGTACAGGGAGTTTGCACCAACACGTTACGTTTCGTGTCCACTCGAGAATTGGGGTGACTCAGTTCTGCCCAGAGTGGAGCCCTGGGGGAAGGCAGCTCACTCGCCACAGACGATAAATCACACAAGTAAATCTGTAAGTTTGAGGCTTTAAAGTTAGTTAGAAATATTCTTCCTGTAGATCGGGGTGACCCCAGTCAGTCTCTTAACCCCTAGAATATATACAAGATTTGTTACGTTTTATGAAAGGTAACACATACAAATCCCATACCTAAAAGTATCCCAGAATACAACTACGTAGTGAATTACTATATTTATTTAGAGGCAACCCAAAAATATTCAGTGCCCTCTTGTGGTTTGAATTATGAAAGAAGAAAAAAATCGTAAGAGAAACTACTGAAGTTGGAACAGTCTCACAACTGAGGTGGCACATAAATCACACCTTCTGTGACACCACTGCCACAACCGTTACCCTGGAGAAAAAAAGCTACCACCTTCCTACTGTCTTCTGCCCACACCTGCAAAAACAAAGAACCTAACACAAGGCTTTCTAGAAAACAAGTGCCTCTTACTGTTAAAAAGCAGGTCTGCCCGAGATGCTTTTAATTTTAAACATCATTCTGGTCTCTCCAATCCAAAAAAATACCCTCCCCTCAAAGAAAACACCAAAGTAAATACTTCTAGTATTAAAAAAAAAAAAAAAAAAAATCTGACTGGCAAGACATTCAGATTCCTTCAAAATGCAAACACATTCTGAGAAATATAAACTCCTCCAAGACATAGAAGTAAACATGGCAGGAGAACTCTGGAAATTATTGATGCGAAGTTTCTTAATTACTCTATTTATCCCTGAGGCTCACATCAGCCCCAAGCTATTGAGGGTACAGCCAGAGGAGCTTATAAAACATACAGAATATGAGACAATACTTAGTAGCTAAGTAATATAGTCTTACCTATTTAATTGATGATTACTTTCAAAGACAGAAAGGGGAGCAGGGGGGAAACAGCTTAAACTTATGAGAATTGCTGTAGGGAAATACATACAGATGAAAAAAAGAGTAGAGAAAAACACAAGAGTAGAGAAAGAATATAAAGTAATAGTAAGGAGCACTTCTCTCAGCAACTAAGTGTCCTCATAAGCTTAAGCAAGTTCATAAAAGCAGTATTGTGTCACTAAGCCCTGGGAAATGACCTGCAGCTTCACGGAGCTGAGGAATGCATCCTCCAGAGGACTGAAGGCAAAGATTTAAAATGGAATTAGATGCTTTCCACAAAATGCATTTAGCAGTGATGATTGTTTTCCTTTTTTTTTCTCCTCCAATTTTCTAAGACCTTGGGGGCGGTGGGGGAATAAACATAAAATTTACTCTCCCAGCTCTTTCTTGATCATATCCAGAAAAGTAGAGATACATGACTACAGGGGAAGGGGAGATGGAATGGGATGGAATGGGATAGGATAGGAGATGGAAAATAAAGAGATGAAAACTGGTCCTTCCCAAAGCAGAGCTACAGTTTGAGGAGAGTAAGAAACAGCCAGACCTAGTTTACTTATGAGGGGGGAAAAAAAGTCTTTGCTTTGACCCTAGTAAGAGTCCAGCAATTCACTGGGACGTGGCGTTTTTAACATTATTGAAAAGCCTCCTCATAGTAGAGGCCCTGAGTTTTGTCTCCTACATCTTTTCAAACACAAAAGAAACCTGGTTTCTAGAGCAAGTTCTAACGCACACTGTACTGAGAACGGACTCGGCAGTGTTTGTACCCTCTCGCTGCTGGTTTCTCCAATTCTAAAAGAACCCTGAAGATGCTTCTGTCAGATACTCCTGTAGCTCTGCCTGCCTGCAATAGAACAACCCTGGCTGCCAGGCTCTGCAGCCATTTCACAAATGGCACAGCACTTCCAAGACATAGCAAAGCGCACAGCACTTCAGAGCATCGGTGAATTAGTGCGTCTGTTTCAGCGTTGGAACATTGGAACAGGCTGCCCAGGGAAGCGGTTGAATCACCATCCCTGGAAGTATTTAAAAGACGCGTAGATGAGGTGCTTCGGGACGTGGTTTAGTGGTGGCTTTGGCAGTTTTAGGTTAACGGTTGGATTCAATGATCTTAGAATCATCTAGGTTGGAAGGGACCTCTATGATTCTATAAAACAAGAGATACAAAAAATACACTTACACGAGGTGTAATTTTTTTTTATAGCAGAGTCCTGACAGACACATGGTCAAATCTCACCAGACTCAGAAGTCCCCATCTCAAAAGAGTGACACAGAAATGCTTCCCAGACACAGAAAACCCTCTAACCCCAACTACCTGTCAGAAGAGGACCTGGGTGCAAGTCCCTCTCCCCAGGGAACAAAGCCCTGCCTTAGGACTGGAGCAGGACAAACAGGAGTTCTGCAGAGCTCATGTACCCTATAACCCAACATACTGCCAATGACCAGGACAAACAGGAGTTCTGCAGAGCTCATGCATCCTATAACCCAACATACTGCCAATGACAATTAAACACATCGAGTGCATTGTCTCTAAATAATGAAATATGCATTGATATAGTAAAAGAAAATTAAATGGAATCTCTAACAAAGGGCTTATAACCAGATTTACAAGAGACAATAATCCATTCAGAGCTCAGAAAATTACATTCTAAGGGCAAGGAACAATAAACTAATAAAAGGTAAATTTACATATTTTTGCTATATTTCTAGCATTCAAATTAAGACATTAACTCAATTCATAACCCTATTATCATCTGTATGTCCTTAGAATGTAAGAGCACAAAAAATAACCACAGGGGTTTTCAGCTCAGAAATAGAGGGCAGAAGGATAAATCATATAGATGCGACCTTGCTGGTCCAATACTGCAACCAGCCCAAACTTATTGACAGTTCTTTCCTCAGAAAAACATTACCTCTTCTTAGTAAATCTACCTTTAAGTAACAAAGTTTTGCTATTGGCCCCAAACGTTCCATACTCTTTCTCTCTTCTTTTAGGTTATTTTTCCAATTAAAATCACATGGGACAACAACATGTGAACATGGAAGGCAGAAAAGCAGCATGAACTAATTTTGCCCAACCTGTCATCTTTTCTGCTCACAGAAAGATTTAAGATGTGACATAAGGTAACTTGTCAGCTCATGAGAGGATCATGAGCCACAACTCACCAGTTCCAGCAGCACACACGCAGTTTTAACCATTTAAAGTGTGAAACCATACAACTGACCACGTACTTAAATTTAGAAAGCATCTGAAAGGAAGAAGTAGCATCAAGGGGACTGATCATCTTTATTATGCAACAAAGAGACAAACAGAAAATAAAATACTTTAATAGGAGAAAAAATAGAAGGTACAATTCAAACATAATATACCATATTAAAACAATACACAATGCAACGTGAACATGAAAACATTTGTTAAACAGCAATCTTCCAGTAAAGACTGCGTGTTTCGAGTACAAGCATCACCCATCACAAATACACAGCTTTTTGTGCATATCTGAGTTTCAGTGAGAAAGATCATGACCAGCAGCAGCATATTTAAATAATTATTTCATTTTCCTTAAAACGCTTACCTAGTGAATGTATTGGATGCAATCTCTTCATATTAAAAGTATAAAATCTTAAGCAAGGCAGCGCCTGCCAATACAGATTTTAACAAATGCAAAGAGGATAAACATTTTGCAAGTTTGTTTTTAATATTGCATTTATACACATTTGTTGCTTTAAAATGTGTATTCAAGTCTCTCAACATTTAAACATGACTAAAATGCTCAGCAACTACGCATCAAGTGACAACTAATTATTGCTATAGAAAAATTTGTTTCCCAGAGTTTTAAAATAGATGTAATTTCATTTGCAATTCTCAAGATATGTTCAAGTAATAGAAATAGCTAGTTCCAGTGTCCATGAGGCATTCTGAATCTGTATTGGCTGTAGGCATTTATTGCCAGATCATATAAATATTTTATTGAATCTAAAAAAGTTAACTAAACTTACATAGAACTATTAAAATCCTTAGGAAATGTATGCAGTAATAAAAATCACCACGGTATGCGTTCTTATTTTAAAAAGCTAAAACTTTAGCATCAGGCTACCTTGAAATTCCCTTCTGTCAAAGGGCACTATTTCATAGTCGGCTTTATAGAGGAAAAGAGAAAGTAAAAAGTCCAAACAGCCTTTTCAGCTGGATCAGTGAACTGCTCCACATCACTATGTGGTCCCGCAAGCACTAGAGCTGACAGAGGAGTGAGAATAGGCAGACAAGAGCACTGGGGGCAAACAGGGAAGCTGGAGTACAAGATCAAAGCATGGCCTGCTGCCAAAATACTGTATTAAGCCAGTAACAAAACGCAAGACATGTTCAGTTGTTATAAAAAGGATATAACCTTTAGACATTGCTGAAATAGTCAACCTTCTCTGGATTTTAACCAGTTATGCCTTCAGTAATGTTTTACACTCTCAAAAACCAGAAGATAGAAATATCAAGTTACAGTGTACAGTGTTTCAGTTCCAACACTCAACATCTTAGAATTAAGATTCAGTTCTGAAACCCATTACATTGCAGAACAAGGCATTTCGACCTTACCAGTTACCTTAGTAGTCAAAGAATAATCAAAACCTCTATTTGGAGAGCAAATGGGAGCCAGGACACAAGAAGCAGATTGGACTTTGGCTGCACAACCAATATTATTACACATAAGCCACCGATTAAAGCAGGAAAATCACTGTGGATGTTCTCCACCAGGTGTACAATACCCATTAAGAACAGCAGTTTGACAATGGCCTGTGGCGACACGGGATGAAGAATCAGTCCTAAAAGGTGTACATTCAGAACAGTCTCTATTTAAACCTACAAAATATATTATCTGTGCAGCTTGCTTTCTCCTTCTCCCCACTTATATTAAATAAAAGACCTGAAAGTTCTTTTACAAATGGATTTTCCATTTAAATTAAAAATTGCATTATTGCTCTGTTTTCTCCAATTTTAATGACAGTCTTGCTGGGAATGTGAAAGTCTAGAATAAGAACTCTTAAAATATTTTGGTAACTATTTTAGAGCAAGTTTTTCTTGCAACTGTTTTTTCAAAGCCTTTGGATGCAGAAGATGTCCGAGTTTTAAACAGTCTTACTAAAAGAAACAATTTCATTTTTCTGAGTGTTGATAGGTCTGAAGCCAATTAGTTCTGTAGTTACACAGCCTTCCATGAAAGACAAAACAGACCAAAATTTGAATTCCAAATGCAACAACAGAAGTTCTGAAAAAGCTCCAACAGAATGAAAAACTAGCTGGTCACAGTCATATACCAAAAAAGTATACTTTTTGCATGTCATCTTGAATTGCTCAGAAAGTATGTTGAGGGACCATCTCTCTTAGTAGTTGAGAGTACAGGGAAAACTCCTCACCCATCACTTCAGTAAGCAAAGGTCCTATTTCAGTTATGCTCCAAAAGGGGAAAAAATAGATGTAATTATTCCTGGAAAATGGCATCATTCTTTCTCAATGTAGGGTGAAAAAAACCTGCTCTGCATTGTTGGTCTATAGAGAAGAAATATTTTTATTTCTTAAGTAGTTGTTATTTTCGTTCACATAGTCATGGTAAAAAAACAAATCACAACATCAAATAAAAGTCTGTCCTTGGGCAGTAGGAGAAAAAAAATTACCATCTCATAGATATCTTAGCAGATGACAGCTGAACTCAAAGAAACTCAACACGGCAACAGAGCATCTTTGCATGTCTTTCTAAAGATACTACTTTCACAGTTGGTTTTGTGAATTAAAATATCTGACATTAATAAAAGAAACTGTAATTAACAGAGTAGTAAAAGTTAGAGAAGATCAAGACAACAGTGAGAAGTTTCAAAAACGTCCCTAATTCCACAGGGACAGATCTCAGTAGATGTGAAGTTTGAGTTTCAGCAAAATCATTTATGAAAAGTCCTTATGAGCGTGGAAAAAAGTTCAGCCTGAAAAAATGGTTACTGAATACCATTTGCATTAATATACACTTCAGATCACCAACAGAATTAATGTAATTTTTCTCTCAGTTAATCGGCAAGATGAAGAGGGGCTACACTTTAAAAGTTCACGTGACAGGATTCTTGAACTGCATTTTGGTATTGGGCTTCTTCATCAAGCTGAAGATTCTAAACAAAATGAAAACATCATCAAAATGGACAAATACTCAAGATGTACCACATTCCTTAGGTTAATCATTCATTTTCCACATTTCTACATAGGAATTGGCACCTAGATGAAGACTCTCCATCTTTATGTGTACTGGATGCTTGTTTATGGTGCACAATATCTTTTATTTAACCAAATACCAACAGATACATGTGACAGGAGAAGAATCAGAGGAGTGGGACAAGCCTCATTAAGCAGAAGGGTCTTCTCTCCCTGGCTCAATTACATTGCAGAATAGTCAGCTCAGGAAAGTTGACCGTGGCATGCAATTCTTATAACAGGGCTTCCAACCATCCTCCATTAATAAAACCAAAATGTGATCCCCACACAATAGTAATTATAGATTGTTGAAAATATACTGCTTAAAATGAGAAAGCAAACACTGAAAAGCTATCTTCCAAGCTGCTAATATGACAAAGTAATGCACTTTTTTGGTGCGATTCTGGCAGCTTCCCAGAATCAGAATTCCAATTCACCAGTTCTACATCCTCAAACATGCAAGATGTGTTGATACTGAAGAGCCCAATCCCCTGTATCAATCTCCTGGCTCTTCATGCCTCTGTCACAGATCACTCAACGCAAAGAAAACGTGCATTATCTTTGCCATCTCTAATCAGTGAGGCTGTCTATACCTCAGATACGATGCTTGTCCCACACAATGCTCAAGCAGCACACCCCAAAGCCTGTCACACTCTGTAGAAACAACAGAAACTCTCCTGCTCTGGTCCCACATGCAGAACTCATCTGGTTGGTTTGACTTAAGATCCATCCAGTGACTACATCTGTGCATGTAGCTCTGCATCTACTCCAAGGTCATATACTCAAAGTGAGCCTGAAAGAAGGCATTGCTCTGGGTGAGAACAATGATTTAATGACATCTCTTTCACATTGCAGCCTCTCTCACAACGTACTGGAAGAGAGGTGGTGGCAGCAACACCCGCTAGTCAAGCTACGCTTTGAGTCCTGAGAATTATGATTTAGTCATTTCTGCCATAAAAGGTCAAAAATGTCAATTAAACAGAGCAGCATCTATTTTATTTCCCTCAGAAGCAGCAGTAATAAACCGTTCTGGGGGAACAAATAGTTCAGATTGAGAATGCTATGCTAAAGAGTAAAGTCATCAGTTTGGAGCACAGCTGAACTGATGACAACACCTATTCCCAACAGCACTTCATGTTGGTAACAGAAAGTTTAAGAACAGACAGGCCTACTCCTTCGGAGCAGGAACACAGCATGTCCAGAGCACAAACAAGTTTGGTACAAAATTTTTATTTGCCATTTTTATTTAGAGAAAAAAGTTACCATTTATTCCCCTACACATCAAAGAAGAAAAAGCTTACCACAAATTCTCCGTAGTCAAAACGGTGTCTTAGATTTAGATGGCTAACAAGATTTCTAGTAACCTGGTTAGTATCTGCCCAAGGAAGAGATACACAAATAGGACAGATCTGAATTTGGAGGGGAAGGGGAAAGAGAGAGAATTAAAAAAAAAAAAAGTTATTGGTAATACAGAATGCATTAAAGACACGTCCTACAGGAATAACTAGTCTATTACTCTTCCACTACCAAAATACAGTAAAGACGTTCACATAAAATCATAATTCTAAGTGTTCTTTTCCTCAACTGCATAACATTCCAAAATTTACATTTCAACTTGCCAAATTTTTTTAACTGTTTCTCTTAGGAGTGGGATATTATCATGTCTGTCTGGCACACTTTTTGTCAATTTCCGTTGCTTAAAATTTAGAAAAGAAAGTGATTACTGCATCCTACTTATCGTCAAGTAAGCCGAAAGAAAAAAATAGCACACCCTGTACAGATGAAAAGAATAGAAAACCAAACAGATTTTTTGCCTTCACTCCCTTTGATTACCTTAGATCATGCCTCAAGTTAACTGTAGGTTTCACATGAAACAATAGCTATGTTACTAATGGGATTCTAAAGAAACAGTTCTGAATTACTAAATGAGGAAGAGTAGGTGTCAGGCTCAAAACCTGAGTTCATTTCACACCAAGATAAATGTGACAGCTGAGTCAGAAATGCCTCAGAACCGACAAGAAGCTGGACAAGAAACAAATGGAAGTCACTCCTCAAGTTAAATATTGCACTGCATTAAGTGCATTGCTTTCCTCAGACCACAGTGATCTTCACAGATATAGACTAGCTACTGCACATTTCAAATTGTTCACATAATTATAACAGAAGTAGTTTGAGAAGCATACATAACCAAGTCTACTTACTACAGGAACTATCTGATAAAGGTGTCTATTATTACAGTGATCCAGCAAACGCTGTCTGGTAAAATTGGACTCCTGACACAGGGGGCATTTGAAGGTTGGATGTCCACTGTGAACAGAAATACACAGTATTAAACAGACAAGTGAGTTTTAGAAGTAATATTACAAAAAGCTTAATTCATCTGTCATCTTGTCATTATTTTTCCCTTATTTTGATAACACCATCCCCTCACACCACCCCCACCATAATGGAGTTCCACTGCTACTTCCAAGTTGCAATTTTAAAGCACATTTATTATTTGTGCACCTAAATGTGTTCTTCGGAGACATGGACTTTAGAAAATTCTTTTTGTTCCAATTGCAAGTGCACCCTGTTCTTACTTACGGGTAACATCTTTCAGTTCAAATCCTTCAAATTCTAACATATAGATGCAAATGTAGAAGAAATTACAGGGGGGTTTTTTATACCACTTGTTGAAAGTGGATGTGGGTTTTTTTCACGTTAGTAAAAACTTGCACTATGATTGTCTGGATCTATTTTAATAGTAACTATAGAAAAACAAGCAGCCTACCTTGTTTCTCCTTGAAGTATTTGATTATTAGCCATCTCGCCATTATCAGATATTGCATCACTCCTGCTACTTTAAATGAAGAAAAAAAAAAAAAGCCCAATGAAAATAGAGATTATTTTACTCTACTATTAAATTTTTTAGAATTTTAACAGTAATGGGGGGAAAAAAATATTTCTCTCTCTCCATTTAGTCCCATGAATTTCAAGGCAAAACATGTAATGGCACATATCTTAACTGTCACAACTTTGGATCAAGGTATGTCTCAGTATTTAGTTACCATGGTGACCTTTGGTGCAATACTACACAACTTTATAGGAAAGTGGTATATAAGACAACAGTCGTTTAGTCAACAAGAATGGTAATGGAGATTACAGCCAAGTAGCTCAACAGGCACTATGAACTACATGGACGTTAAGACAGGTAGCACTTTTTATGTTTTTGACTTAGGACTACGTAAATAGGCATTTAACTGCCATCTGTTGAAATTACTTGTGTAAGATAAACTTTCTTACACTATGCACAAAATAAACTCTTTTCTAAAGTATGAGGGACTGACAGGAACATTTTAGAAAGTAAATTTGACCATAAATGCACCTCTAGCTAAGACAGAAGAAACTGCTCAGACACAGTGATCATCCTAATAACATGAATATTTATAGTCACAAATCTGGCCATGGTACATTTTTTTTATACTTCTGTAATATTGTAAGTACAGGTATTCTACTGTGACATAGTCAATAAATAGTGATACAACAATATCCAGACACTTTGGTGAAAGTAGAATAGAATAGGAATAGAACATTTCCATTGGAAGGGACCTACGCAGCTTTGAGAAATTCTCATGTCCTATCACTGGATACCAGGGAGAAGAGATCTTTACCTCCCTCTCCATTTCTCCTCCTCCCAGGAAGCTGTAGAGAGCAATAAGGTCACCCCTCAGCCTCCTTTTCTCCAAACTAGACAAGCTCAAAGTTCTTAACTGCTCCTTACAGGACATTCTTTCCAGCCCTTTCACCAGCTTTGTTGACCTTCTGTGAACGCACTTAAGACCCCTTCACATCCTTTTTAAATTGTGGGGCCCAGAACTGCACACAATACTCAAGGTGAGACAGCACCAATGCTGAATACAGCAGGATAATCACCTCTTCTGACCACGCTGTGTTTGATGCACCCCAGGATGCAGTTTGCCCTCGTGGCTGCCAGGGCACACTGCTGACTCGTATTAAGCCTGCTGTCGACCAGCACCCCCAGATCCCTTTCTGCAGGGCTGCTCTACAGCCACTCTTCTCCCAATTTATACTTGTGTTCAGCATTACTGCATCCTAGGTGCAGAAACCAGCATTTCAACTTGTTAAACTTCATCCCATTAATCATAGCTCAATGGTCCAATCTATCTAGACCCCTCTGGAAGGCATCACATCCCTCCAGAGGATCAACAGCACCTCCCACTTTGGCATAATCGGCAAACTTGCTAATGGTGCATTCAACTCCTGCATCCAGGTCATTGATAAATATATTTAACAGGATAAATATAATTTAACTAGAACCGAACCCTGAGGCGGTGGTGACTGTTGATAATGGGTCACCAGCCAGATGTAGCCCCATTCACTACAACCCTTTGAGCTCTGCCCTTCAGCCAGTTCTTCACCCAGCGAGCGCACCATGAACCTGCACATCCCACAGCTGGATAACATGTCCAGAAGGATGCTGTGAGGGACACTATCAAAAGCCTTACTAAAATCCAGAAAAACTCCATCCACTCCTTTCCCTTCATCCACTAGGCAGGTGACCTTGTCATAGAAGGATATCAAATTAGTTAAACAGGACTTTCCCTTTGTGAACCCACGTTGACTGTGCCTGGTGACTGCATTATTCTGTGAGTGCCTTTCAACAGCACTCAGTATAACCTCCTCCACAGTATTCCCAGCAACACTGCTCCAACTGGTTCTGCTAACAGTTTAAAGTTCTGCTTTCAATATATTGATGGGTTGAAAACTAAACACAGAGAAGTCTAGACAGCTAGAAATAGAAAATAGATGTCAAAAAAAAGTAAATAAAGGACCAGCTACATATAACAAAGCTCTATGAAACTATTATGTAAAAAACAGGTCTTCAAAAATAAGCAAAAATCCTCAGCCAAACCAAACACATCAGTGAGAAGGGATGAAAAAACAGTTCTTTAGCTTTACTGCCTGAAAAACAAATGGTAAGTGGCATTCATATTTTATGGTGTGTAACATACTGGAGATCCTTATACATTTCATAAGGGATCAGTTCAAAATAAATTCAATCAGAAAGCAAAAGCTTGCACAGTAATGTTAACAGGATACCCACTGAAACAGACTTAGGGAAGAGGGAGTGGGGAATAAAAAGAGAAGGAAACTTCCCTGGGGGTAAGTATTATGAAATTTGTTACAAAGTAAACTGCTCAAATGTTGTCAAGGCAGTGAAAGTAAGGTGCAAGTACTATACACTCTTTAGGAGAGTCCCTAGAAGACATTCCAAACCATCAGGCAGAAAGGTTTTCTTCTGTTTGCTAAGAGTAAAGAAAAAGACCTGGAAAAACTGTGATTTTCTGAAGCACTAAAATATGGACAATAATTATTGCAAAAAGAAGGCATGCCCTGGAAAAAAAAACCACTTTCCTTTGGGGGTTGGGGGAGAAGAAGATGCATTGTTAAACATAAAACACCCTGATTACCTGTTCCCTGTTGAATCTTGGGAAATCTGTAAGTTTGGAATAATAGAAGAAACACCATATTCATCCTGATACTTCTTACACGTTTTATAATGCTGTCTCATCCATGAAAATCTAACCTGTAAATGAAATGCCAAATTATTGAAATTATACAAACCAATCCAGGGACAGAAGGAAGAGACAATTCTGCCAACAGAAAGCAATGCATGCAGGAATTATTTCGACATCATATGCAGAAGAAACCAGAACTTGTGTCTCCCCTCTCAGCATGAACATTTTCTTCCCCATCGGGAGATCTTCGTTTCTTTTTTCCATAGAGCCTCTGCCACCCTGTGAGACTGGAGAATATTCCTACACCCCAAGCCCCCAACAGCCAAGCAACTGAGAGAATTCTCCAGTGGGTAACAGATGCGAGCAAACTCCATTTAACTGAAACAGAGTCACAGGAACTACACCTCCCAGATCCAGGATCAACGACTGATGAGCTACAACAGAGAGGGGCCATGACGATGGCATAAGCCACACCGCTCCTTCAGTCTTCTCTGGCCTGCTTTACAGAGCAAAGTCTTTTTGCATTACGTGTGTTCTCAGAATACAGAACTTTTCTGAGAGGAAAAAAAGAAAAAGAAGGGGAGGCAGGGGGGAGAAAGGTGAATGAACACCAACACTACGGCTGCCTATCCAGCTAAAATGCAAGGAAAGACAATGAGTTGCTTAGATTTGTCATAAGATAGCTGTGCTGGACATGCCTTAAATCAGAATTTCAGATCCAACAGCACTGTCAGAAAGTGCTTACAGGTTTAGGGGCTGAACAAGATCACATCTCATGTGCCTGTGCCTAAATTCCATTAGAGTTCTTCTGGGGATGCGTTTTGTTCTTCCTTCCAGTTTACCAACTTGCTATTGTTTCTTTCTCCCAGCTTTCCACCCTAAATGAATCATGTGGAACAAAGCAAGCAGCTTGGCTTTCCACTAATGTTAATCTTCACATTGGCAGAACCAAGTCCTGAGTGAAACAAAACAAACATGAAGACAACTACCTGGAGCTGATGCAATTTGATGTAAATAAAATGTGTGGCTGAAATCCTGAATCCATTTATATCAGAAGAGAGATTACTCTTGATTTCAGTGGGGATCAAGACTTCACCCAATGTTCTGGAAATAATGACCCTTTTACAAAGGGAATGAAAGGAATGTAAACAGACTGATGGGGCAGGGGGAAATTACATATGATTGTACTTACACCAAGAGTAATCAACCCGTACTTTTTTGGTTTTAAATGAAGTTTTACAGTAGCTCCTCTAAGCACTTTCATTTCCATAGTGAATGTTTCTGAGGTTTTTCATATATCTGCAACTTTCACTTTCAGTTCTCTAACTTTTCTTTTGCCAGCTTTATAGCTATATTCAGTTTTCATATTGTTTTGGGGAAGAAGTGGCACTCCACTTAAAAAGTCCTTATAGACAACAGAAGATCCTCTCTGTTTACGTCTGTTAGACATACCTAGCAGACACTCCATGCCTAATACATGCAAAAGCCACACAAAGCTAAATTCAAACTGCTACAGGCTCTTTCGCTCCAAGACAAGAATGACACACAGTCAAAGCCTGTGTGGTTAAAGATAAGAACAGTTTATCCAACTTTTTGTAAAGTTTTACTCTACCTGCTTCTCACAGCATCTACAGCCCCCAGAAGCTTTCTTCATACTGTTTTCAACATCTAGAGCCCTTTTGGGATATGTTCTTTCTTTTTTAGTCACGCTCCCCCGGCAGAGAGGACAATGTGTTCCACTTTCTCTGATCGCTGTCAAGAAGCACTTCCTGCAAAACCTAAATTGAAAAGTTACCACAAACACAGGTTAGCAAAGAGAAGAGAGTTAGATACTTTGTCCTTGAAGAGAGCTGTGTGATTATCAGGGGAAAAAAAAAAACAGATATATATCAGAGTCTACTGAATAGAAATTTTTATAAATACGAGGAAAATGAAATAGTGGTGCTTACAAACAAGTGTACGGAAATAAGGGGAATTTGGCAATGCACTTTGGGTAAAGATGTTACTATTTACTGACTCATATTCCTAAACCGTACACCAGATTGATCATTAATGAGGTATTAAATGGTGCAGTAGGCACGTGATACCGGAAAATCTTATCAGAGTAACTCCTGTTTATTGTCCTTAAGCAGCGCCAAAAATACTGCAAAGCTTCAATTAGCGTGCATCTCCACAGACCATCTTAGTCCAACAGCTTTCGCAGTTCTCTCACTTTCTTTCCTGCCCTACCAACCGCCCCAGCCTATTTTGTTTCCCTTTTCCTACAAAAGCGGGGCTTTGTAATCCAACGTTTCCCCCGAAAAACGGCGGAGCAGACGAAGCGCGGAAGAGAAGGAAACCGCGCTCCTGGTCCTTGTTTGAAAACGCACAGGGAGCTATAAAGTCAAAAAAGGCGAGTTAGGTTTAGGCGTGGAGCCCGGGCCACCACCGGCGTGGGCTCCGAGGGGCCGCCTTTCCTGCCCGACCCCTCCTCACCGCTGGCTACAAAAGAGGGAGGCGATGGAGGGGCAGGCTGGGGGCACCGCTCCGCACGACGGCCTTGAAGCCAGCTCTCCTCGACGGTGGCGGGTCACTCACCCCCAAGGGAGTGACAAGGAGCTCCGCGGTGCCCCCGCCGCGGCCGGCTCCGGGCCCAGGGTTCTGCGCCCCGGGGCTGGGTGAGGGTGAAGGCCCCGGGGGATGGGGGGGGGGGGGGGGGGCAGAGAGGTGAAAGGCGGAGAAGCGGCGGTAAAAGGCTTGTGAAGGGG